CACTGCAATGGATGCCCAGGGAGGTGGGGGAGGCGCCGAGCCTGGGGGTGTTGAAGGCAAGGCTGGGTGCTGTGCTGAGGGCCGTGGTTCAGTGGGAGCTGTTGGGAACAGGTGAATGGTTGGACTGGGGGAGCTTGGAGGTCTTTTCCAACCTTGGTGATTCTTTGATTCTATGATTCTAGAATGGTGGGGATGTGTGGATGGTTGGACTCCATAATCCTAGTGGTCTTCTCTAATGACTCTGACTGGGGATGGGTTGGTGGTTGGACTCGATGGTCTTGGAAGCCTTTTCCAACCATAACAATTCCCTGGCTCCGTGCCCCACTGACTGCACGCTGCCTGCAGGCTCCGATGACGGCACGGTGCGCTTCTGGGAGGTGAGCACGGCTCGCTGCATGAAGACCTTGCCTGTGGGTGGCGTGGTGAAGAGCGTCGCCTGGAACCCCAACCCCACCGTCTGCCTGGTGGCCGTCTGCGTGTGAGTGTCCCCCTGCCCTGTCCTGCACCCTCCAGCCCCCGCCAGGAGCTGCCCGCGGCGGTTGCACGCGCTGATCTTGGAGGACATTTCCAACTTCAGTGGTTCGGTGATTCTTGGAGCGGCCACGGTGGGCACGGAGATCTTCTCCAGCCAGAACGACTCCACGATTCCGTGTCGCTGAATTTCCTCTCCCACAGCTTTTCAGCTTCTAGGGAGATCGTGGGGACTCACCTCCAGCGCTGGGGACTCTGGTCTCGAGCTCCTGTCCCTTGTTTGGCAATAGACGAGCTTGGCAGGCTCGCACCATCCCACCCATCCTCCCGCCATCATCACGCAGGGCTTGCAGAAGGGTTTCCCCTCACCAGCAGTGCCCTGACCCCTTCCTTCCCCGATCCCACACTGCAGGGAGCAGTCGGTGCTGCTGGTGAACCCGTGCCTCGGGGACAAGCTGCTCTATGGGGCCACTGACCAGGTGCTGGAGTCCTACGTGCCACCAGAGGAGGAGCGTGTGCAGCCTGTCCAGTGGGTCACAGCCACCAGCGAGGAGCACAGCAGAGGCATCCGCCTGACAGTGCAGCACAGCAAGGTGGGGATGGGGCAGTGCTGGGGGATGGTGTGGGGCAGCCCTGCTGATGGGCTTGGGGAGGGGACCTGTGGGAATCAACAAGGTCAAGTGGACGGCATTGGACTGGGGCGAGGCGTTGGGTCGCTCCTTTCCAACTCAGCCCATTCTGTAGTTCTGTGATCTTTAAGGACCTTTTCAACTCAACTACTGTGTGCTTCTATGAGCTTTAAGGCTCTCCCAACCCAACCATCCCATGGGTTTATGATCTTTAAGGACCCTTCCAACCCAACCCAACCCAACCCAACCATTCCATGGCTCTATGAGCTTTTGGGACCTTCCAACCCAACCCAATCATCCCATGGTTCTATGAGCTTTTGGGACCCTTCAATCCAACCTAACCCAACCATCCCATGGCTCTATGAACTTTCGGGATCATTCCAACCCAACCCAACCATCCCATGGTTCTATGAGCTTTAGGGACCCTTCCAACCCAACCATGCCATGGCTCTACGGTCTTCAAGGTCCTTCCCAACCCAATCCAACCCAACCCAACCATCCCATGACTCTCTGATCTTTAAGGTCCTTCCCAACCCAACCATTCCATGGCTCTCTGATCTTTAAGGTCCTTCCCAACCCAACCATTCCATGGCTCTCTGATCTTTAAGGTCCTTCCCAACCCAATCCAACCCAACCCAACCATCCCATGACTCTCTGATCTTTAAGGTCCTTCCCAACTCAACCATTCCATGGCTCTCTGATCTTTAAGGTCCTTCCCAACCCAACCATTCCATGGCTCTCTGATCTTTAAGGTCCTTTCCAGCCCAACCCATTCCACGATTCTGTGCTCTCTAAGGACCATTCCAACCCCCCATTCTATGATTCCGTGGGTCTGACTCCTCCCCGTTGCCCACAGGCCTTGAAGCAAGTGACCTGGCACGGAAAGGGCGATTACTTCGCCACCGTTGTGGCCGACAACAGCAACATGCAAGTGCTGATCCACCAGACCAGCAAGCGCTGGAGCCAGAATCCCTTCCGCAAGAGCAAAGGCCTGGTGCAGTGCGTCCTCTTCCACCCCATCCGGCCCTATTTCTTCGTGGCCACGCAGCGCTACGTCCGCGTCTACAACCTCCTCAAGCAGGAGCTCACCAAGAAGCTGATGGCCAACTGCAAGTGGGTGTCCAGCATGGCCATCCACCCCGCAGGTACGGATGGTGGCGCCGGAACGGAGCGCCCTGGGGTGCCTAGGAGGTGTGTGGGGTTCACCCTACGATGGATGTCCCCTTCCCTCCCCCAGGTGACAACGTCATCTGCGGCAGCTACGACAGCAAGCTGGCCTGGTTCGACCTGGACCTCTCCACCCGCCCCTACCAGCTGCTGCGGTGAGCCCCGGCCCCATAGGGCTGCCCCCATCCTTCCCTCCCCGTGCTGCAGAGCTCAGGACCTCACACAGGTTTTATTATTGCCGTTTTCCAAAGCACTGACCTTCAGAGTCAGCTTTGTTGAAACGCACATAGGGTTGAAGCAGAAGGTGCCATCGATGAGGGTCCCTCATTTCCCAGCGCTGCCTCTTGCACTCAGGGTCCTACAGACACCCCACTGATCTCCAGTGAGGATAAGCACCCTGTTCCAGCTCCCAATTAATCCATACATTTATTTTAGTGGTAATCACAAAGCATCTTCGTCATCTTTCAGTTATCACAGACTGAACTTGTACAAAGAGCCCGAGTGACAACACAGGTTAACCCGAGGCGGGGGTTTCCCAGAGGGAAGTGATAATTATCTTTACATGGTTTTGTTCTGCTGCCTGGCCCCTAATTGTAGAAGCAATAAACGAGGATTTAGTGTCCCATAGAAATAAATAATCAAAATACACTCTAGAGAGCCCCAAATCTGGTGCTTTAGGAGCAGCATTTCTGTAGGCACACTTTATGATCTTTAAGGACCCTTCCAACCCAATGCAACTATTTTATGGCTCTGTGATCTTTAAGGACCCTTCCAACCCAACCCAACCCAACTCAACACAACCATGGTTCTATGAGCTTTAGGGACCCTTCCAACCCAACCATCCCATGGCTTTGTGATCTTTAAGGACCCTTCCAACCCAACCCAACCCAACTCAACACAACCATGGTTCTATGAGCTTTAGGGACCCTTCCAACCCAACCATCCCATGGCTCTATGATCTTTAAGGATCCCCCAACTCAATCCAACCATTCTATGGCTCTATGATCTTCAAACATCTTCTCAACCCAACCATTCCATGGCTCTATGAGCTTTTGGGACCCTTCCAACCCAACCCAACCCAACCATCCCATGGCTCTATGAGCTTTTGGGACCTTCCAACCCAACCAACCCAACCCAACCCAACCCAACCCAAGCACCCCATGGTTCTATGAGCTTTTGGGACCCTTCCAACCCAACCATCCCCTGATGCCATGACTTTACGATCCCCCTGCACTGACGGCACTCACTCTTTGCAGGCACCACAGGAAGGCACTGAGGAGCGTGGCCTTCCACAAGCACTACCCACTCTTCGCCTCGGGCTCAGACGACGGGACCGTCATTGTGTGCCATGGCATGGTCTACAAGTACGTGGGAGTCGGGCCAGGGGGCTCTGATGGCTTCCCATGGGGTGGGGGGACAGCAGAGGGTCGGTTATGGGGCAGAGGGTGCAGAGCATCGATGGGGTGACCCCGCGGGTGGATCCAGAGCCCCACACTGACCCATCTCCCCACAGCGACCTGCTGCAGAACCCGCTGCTGGTGCCAGTGAAGGTGCTGAAGGGCCACGCGTTGACCCTGGACCTGGGCGTCCTCGATGTCATCTTCCACCCCACACAGCCGTGGGTCTTCTCCTCCGGAGCCGACGGCACCGTCCGGCTCTACACGTAGCTGCTGCCCAACACCGGCACCCCAATGACACCGACACCCCAACTCCAGAACCCCAACACAGGCACCCCAACACCGGCCGGGAACATCTCCGCTCCTACCCATGGACTCCGGAACCTTTCTCATTTCTCATTAAACTGATTTTTGGGTACAGAGCCACATCTCCGTGTTCTCTACCTCCAGCTCAGCCCGGGCTGCACCAAGGAGCGCCCCAGCACCCCAGTTCCCGTGCGGTGCTGCCCTGCGTGGTGCCCTCCAGCCCCCCCCAAAGTGTTTGTGGGGTTTCTCCTTGCTTGCCTGCCCCCACATCATCTCCCATGGCCAGGAGAGATGCTCCCGAGCTGAATGCACAGGACCTGCACCCACTTTGCCCCACAGGGACACATATAGGGGTAACATTGCCCCATAGCACACCCACAGAGCCCACCCCAAAAACACCCAGAGCTCCCCAACCCTCCAGCTTCCCCCCCCCCCCCTCCCCCCCCAGCCCCACGTGCCACCCTCTGACCCCACAGCCGCACCGTGAGCTCATCCCGTCCCGCCGTGAGCTCAGTGTTGGCCGTGGGCCAGGACTGGGGAACTTCCCCGACCCACATTGACCACACGGCCCTACAGGACCCCACTGCGGGACCCACATCTGTGGGGTTTGTTCCCTGCACAGCCAGAACCCCGTGTGGGGACCCCAAAAATTCTGCTCGTGCTGCTCCAGATCTGAGCAGTGGGATCAAGGCTGGGGTGTAAGCAACAGCAAAAGGCCGGGGCACATCTCCCCCTACCCCAGTTTGTGGGGTCAGAGTCAGCCTGGGTCCTCGGAGGCTTAGGATCAGCCCCATACGGTTCCTGGCCCCCCACCCTACAGCACAGGGTCTGACCCACTGCTGCCCCACTCCATCATTCTGGACCCCACTGAAGCAGCACAGATGCAGCACAAGGAATGAGGGACAAGGCCCCCTACCCCAGCCCCCCCCCCCCCCCCTTCCAAACCCTCTGCCATCATTAACGCCCCCCCCTTCCCCCACTAACAAAGCCCCACTTGGGCCGCATCCCTCACCCCGCACCACCTCCCAACCAGGAGCAAAGAGCTTTATTATCGAAAAATAAGTTTATGTACAGGCGTGTTTGGGGACGCTCACATTCCTGGGACCCCCCCCCACCCACCACATAGGGGTCCGTTCACCTGCTGTGCCCATCCCGGGGGGCTGGGGGGCTCCCATGGCTCGGAGGGGGGGAGGGGGGGGGGGAGCGGAGGAAGACGATGGTGCTGCAGAGCGGGGTGCCCGTGGGGTGGGCGCGTGGCGATGGCTGTGGGGCTCCGACCCCATAACGCTGCGTGGGGTCAGAGGATGCGGACGAGGCGGCCCAGGGTCTCTGCCACCTTCATGCGGACGGCGGGGACCGGATCCTTCAGGAGGAGGTTGAGGGCTGCAGGGAACAGAGCACGAGGTGGTAGGGGGAGTCAGGGTTGGGGGCTGCCCATCTCCCTCCCCTCGGCCTCCATCCTCACCGTCACACACATCAGGAGGGGGCACCGCGACCCCAAATCCCCTCCGGGATCCCAAATCCACTCTGGGAATCCCCTTTGTCCTTGGGGTTCCCAAATCCCTTTGGGGGTCCCAACTTTGGGAACACCGTATCCCCCCTTTGGGTCCCCATATCCCCAAATGCGCTCTGGGAACACCATACGCCTTTGGGGACTCCAAATGCTCTTTGAAGAACCTCAATCCACAACAGGGATACAAAACCCCTTTTGGGGACCCCAAATCCACTCTGGAGACCCCAAGTCCCACTGTGAACCCCAAATCCACACTGAAAACCCAATATCCCTTTGGGAACCCCAGATTCACTTAGGTGATTCCCAAATACTCTTGGGGATTCCATATCCACTTTAGGAACCTCAGATCCTCCCTCTCCATCCCCCCCCCCCCCCCGTGGACCCCAAATCCACTTTGAGAACCCTACATTCCCTCGGGGACCCCAAATTCATTTTAGGAGCACCACATCCCCTTGGGGTCCCAATATCCCCTTTGGGGACCCCAAATTTCCTTTGGGAAACCCATATTCCCCTTGGAGACCCCAAATCCCCCTATGGACCCCAAATCCATTCTGAGAACCCATATATACCCTTGGGGAGTCCAAATTCACTTTGAGGACCATGAAATACTCTCGGGGACCCCAAATCTGCTTTGAGGATCCCAAATCCTTCCTGGAAACCCAAATTCACTTTGGGAACCCCACATCACCTTCAGGGTCCCCCAGTCCACTTTGAGAACACAATATCCCTTTTGGGGACTCCAAATCCTCTTTGAAGACCCCAAATCCACATCACGGACCCAAATCCCCATTGGGGATCCCATATCCACTTCGGGGACCCCAAATCCCCATTGGGGACCCCATATCCACTTTGGGGGACCCCTGCGGACCCCGTATCCGCTTTGAGAATCCTACATCCCCTCAGGGACCCCAGATTCACTTAGGATACCCCAAAATACTCTTGGAGACCCCCTGGGAATCCCATATCTATTTCAAGAACACTGCATCCCCCTTTAGGACCCCGCAATCCCTTTAGAGACCTCAAATCCCTCCATTTCGAACCCCCAAAATCCACTCTTGAGGACCCATGGAAAACCCCAAATCCACCTGGGGACTCCCGGAAAAGGAGCCTTTGGGGACTTTGGGGACTCTCAATCCCCATCGGTGACCCCCCCTCAGGACCCCCCTCAGCGGATCCCCCCCCCCAGGGGGAAACGTCCCAACGGGGGGTGGGGGGGGGAGGGGATGGAAGAAGGAGGGCAGTCGGTCCCGCAGCCGCCCCTCCCCATCGCGCATTTCCCAACGCCGGCAGCCGTCCTTCCGAGCAGCGCAACCCCACTGCATTTCGCCATCCCGTTTTTCCAGGAGCTGTTTATTTTACCCGCAGCGCAGCCCCCTCCCCCTCCCCCTTTCCCTCCCCCCCTCCTCCCCCTGTCCCCCCCCTCCTCCCCCTCAACTCGCCCTGATTTATGCCTCATCCCCCTCCTGCTCTCCTCATCCTCCGCCCCGGGGGTGCCCCCCCCCCCCCCCGGCCCCTCCCGTCGCTCCCCCCCATTACTCACACCCGGATTATCTTTCACTGTTGCTAACAGACAGCCCTCTTTCTTCTGGACGGGGCTCAGGGAGCCAACGGAAAGATAGTTTTTCCTTTTTTAGTGTTTTTTAAGCTCTCTTGGAACGAGCCGAAAGTTTCCGTGCATTACTCTATACTATGAGGTCACCAGTGACAAGGAAAAAATCCCTGAAATCCAGGAAAATTACTTAACTCTGCTCCAAAATGCCACCGGCTTCAGTCGGGCTTTTTATGAGCCCTTCGCCGGGAGCCGAGCGCTGCCCCATCGCTGGGAGCGCTGCCCCATAACCAGGAACCCCACTGCGTGGTGTCCCCGTCTGCTCCCAGCGCTGTCACGGAACTGCTAATGTTGGAAAAGACCTCCAGCATCCCCGAGTGCAGGGCTCAACTCGTCCCCACCACGTCCACCAAAGGGTCATAGAGGTTGGAAGAGATCTCCAGGATCCCCAAGCCCAACCCACCCCACCATGACCCTAAATGGATCCGTAGGGTCATGAAGGTTGGAGAAGACCTCCAAGGTCATCCAGTTCAACTCCAACCCCAACCCACCCCACCATGACCTAAAATGGTACCACTGTGTCACCAAGCTTGGAAAAGATCTCCAAGATCCCCAGCTCCAACCCCAACCCACCCCACCATGACCCTAAATAGATCCATAGGGTCATGAAGGTTGGAGAAGACCTCCAAGGTCATCCAGTTCAACTCCAACCCCAACCCACCCCACCATGACCTAAAATGGAACCACTGTGTCATCAAGCTTGGAAGAGATCTCCAGGATCCCCAAGTTCAACCCCAACCAACCCCACCATGACCCTAAATGGATCCATAGGGTCATGAAGGTTGGAGAAGACCTCCAAGGTCGTCCAGTTCAACTCCAACCCCAACCCACCCCACCATGACCCTAAATAGATCCATAGGGTCATGAAGGTTGGAGAAGGCCTCCAAGGTCATGCAGTTCAACTCCAACCCCAACCCACCCCACCACGACCCTAAATGGATCCGTAGGGTCATGAAGGTTGGAGAAGGCCTCCAAGGTCATGCAGTTCAACTCCAACCCCAACCCATCCCACCATGACCCTAAATGGATCCATAGGGTCATGAAGGTTGGAGAAGGCCTCCAAGGTCATCCAGTTCAACTCCAACCCCAACCCATCCCACCATGACCCTAAATGGATCCATAGGGTCATGAAGGTTGGAGAAGGCCTCCAAGGTCATCCAGTTCAACTCCAACCCCAACCCATCCCACCATGACCCTAAATGGATCCATAGGGTCATGAAGGTTGGAGACGACCTCCAAGCTCATCCAGTTCAACTCCAACCCCAACCCACCCCACCATGACCTAAAATGGAACCACTGTGTCATCAAGCTTGGAAGAGAACTCCAGGATCCCCAAGTTCAACCCCAACCCACCCCACCATGACCCTAAATGGATCCGTAGGGTGATGAAGGTTGGAGAAGACCTCCAAGGTCATGCAGTTCAACTCCAACCCCAACCCACCCCACCATGACCCTAAATAGATCCATAGGGTCATGAAGGTTGGAGAAGGCCTCCAAGGTCATCCAGTTCAACTCCAACCCCAACCCACCCCACCATGACCTAAAATGGTACCACTGTGTCACCAAGCTTGGAAAAGATCTCCAAGATCCCCAGCTCCAACCCCAACCCACCCCACCATGACCCTAAATGAATCCATAGGGTCATGAAGGTTGGAGAAGACCTCCAAGGTCATCCAGTTCAACTCCAAGCCCAATCCACCCCACCATGACCTAAAATGGAACCATTGTGTCATCAAGGTAGGAAAAGACTTCCAGGATCCCCAGCTCCAACCCCAACCCACCCCACCATGACCCTAAATAGATTCATGGGGTCATGAAGGTTGGAGAAGACCTCCAAGGTCATCCAGTTCAACTCCAACCCCAACCCACCCCACCATGACCTAAAATGGAACCACTGTGTCATCAAGCTTGGAAGAGATCTCCAGGATCCCCAAGTTCAACCCCAACCCACCCCACCATGACCCTAAATGGATCCATAGGGTCATGAAGGTTGGAGAAGACCTCCAAGGTCATCCAGTTCAATTCCAACCCCAACCCACCCCACCATGACCCTAAATAGATCCATAGGGTCATGAAGGTTGGAGAAGGCCTCCAAGGTCATGCAGTTCAACTCCAACCCCAACCCACCCCACCATGACCCTAAATGGATCCATAGGGTCATGAAGGTTGGAGAAGGCCTCCAAGGTCATGCAGTTCAACTCCAACCCCAACCCACCCCACCATGACCCTAAATGAATCCATAGGGTCATGAAGGTTGGAGACGACCTCCAAGGTCATCCAGTTCAACTCCAACCCCAACCCACTCCACCATGACCTAAAACGGAACCATTGTGTCATCAAGCTTGGAAGAGATATCCAGGATCCCCAAGTTCAACCCCAACGAACCCCACCATGACCCTAAACAGAACCACTGAGTCATCAAGGTAGGAAAAGACTTCCAGGATCTCCAGCTCCAACCTCAACCCACCCCACCACGACCCTAAATGGATCCATAGGGTCATGAAGGTTGGAGAAGGCCTCCAAGGTCATCCAGTTCAACTCCAACCCCAACCCACCCCACTATGACCCTAAACGGATCCATAGGGTCATGAAGGTTGGAGGAGGCCTCCAAGGTCATCCAGTCCATCCCCAGCACACACCCCCATCACAATAACAGACCCACAGAGTCATCAAGGTTGGACAAGACCTCCAAGATCCCCGAGTCCGGAGGTCAACTCATCCCCACCTTGTCCACTGTGGGGTCATTGACATAGAAGAGACCTCCAAGATCCCCAACCCCAATCCCAACCCACCATGACTGTAAATGGAACCACAGACTCACTCAGGTTGAAAGAGACCTCCAAGGTCATCCAGTCCAACCCCAAACCACCCTCACTGTAACCCTAAATAGAACCCATGGAGTCATTAAGGTTGGACAGGGCCTCCAAAGTCACCCAATCCAACTCCACCATGGCCACTACCGTGTCCCCAAGTGCCACATCCCCACAGTTCTTCAGCACTTCCAAGGACGGTGACCCCACCACCATGCCCGACCCCGGACATTCTGTGCTGGTGCCCGATTGCTCTTTTTGGGAAGAAATGTTTCCTAATCTCCAACCTGATCCTCCCCTGGTGCAATTAAGGCCACCCCCTCCCGTCCCATCGCTGTCACCTGCCAGCAGAAGCCAACACTCTCAGGTGACAACAACCTCCCTGCAGGAGTTGTAGGGAGCGATGAGCTCCTCCTTGAGTCCCCTCTGCTCCAGCCCGACCCACCCCACAGCCGCAGTGCTGTGCTCAGACCCTTCCCCCTTCATTGCCCCCTGGACACTCAGCACCTCAACGTCCCTCTGGCGGTGAGGAAGGACTCTGCAGGGTGGCAGGGTGGGCACAGCGTGGGGTCCCCCCGTGGCACTCACCCGAGATGAGCTGCTCCAGGTCCACCTGGTGGCAGTGGTCCTCCCCGACGTGCAGCACGAGGAACCCTGAGGAGGAAGGTCAGGGTTAGGGCTCGATGGGACCCAGTGGGAATCATCAGAGCTGAGCATGCAGAAGGGTCACAAAGAGCCACCCTGGGGAACGTGGGGATGTGGGTCACAGAATCACAGAATCGTAGGGGTTGGAAGGGAGCTGCAGAGAACATGGAGACCAAACCCCTGCCAAAGCAGTTCCTACACCAGGTCGCACAGGCTAGCCTTCAATATCTGCAGAGCAGGAGACCCCACAGCCCCCTGGCAGCCTGTTCCAGCGCTCCGTCGCCTCACCTACAGAAGTTCTTATGCAGATTCATGCACAACTTCCTCTGCTGCATTTTCCAGCCGTTTCCCCTCCTCCTGTCTCCACTCACCACTGAACAGAGCCTGGCCTCACCACCATGCCCCCCACACCTCAGATATTCACAGACCTGGATCAGCTCCCCTCTCAGCCTTCTTTCCTCCATGCTGAACAGCCCCAGCTCACTCAGCCTTTCTCCATAGCAGAGATGCTCCAGGCCCCTCACCATCTTTTGGCCCTCCGCTGGACTCTTCCCAACAGATCCCCGCCTGTTTTGTGCTGGGCAGCCCAGAACTGGACGCCGTGCTCCAGGTGAGGCCTCAGCAGGGCAGAGCAGAGGGGGAGCATCGCCTCGACCTGCTGGCCACGCTCTGTGCAATGCACCCCAGGACGCCGTTGGCCTTTTTGGCCACGAGGGCACCCTGCTGTGCCCCGGGAACGTCCAACCCACGGTGCTGAGGACGTCATCTCAAGCAGCCCACAGCTCCACAGTGTCAGCGTTGGGCAGTGGTGGGACAGCAGGAGAGGTTGAACCCACCCCCAAACCCCCACCACCCCAACCAACCACGTCCCTACACAGAATCATTACGGTTGGAAGACACCTCCAAGATCCCCAAACCCACGTCCCCAAGTGCCACATCTCCACCCCAGGGATGGGGATCCCACCACCCCCCTGTGCCAACAGCCACTCTTTCCAAGAAGGAAGGGTTCCTAACACGGCGCTGTGCTTAATTCCTAAGGAAACGCTGTCAGTTCTCACAGATGACAATTTGAGAAGCCATTAATTGCATCGCAGAGACGCGCCGCCGAGCCTGACGCGTCCTGAGGAACGTTTCATAAAGACCAGAAAGAGGAACAAAAAAAAAACCGATTTCATCACCACCAGTGAAATGATGATAAAGTCACGGCTCAGACGGACTCTGCCACCAAAGCTCATCCTGCGACGGCAAACCTGACAGCAAAAAGACAAATCCAAACCATTTGCCAACAGTGAATTGCCAAGCAACGTATGGAAAGCAAGGCAGATATCATCTCTCCCCATTACAAAATCAGGCCTGGAGAACCGAAGGAACAGGAAAATCTATTGAGAGAAATGCAGAGAGCAAAGCTGCTCCTTTCCAACCGGTGGTGATGGATGAAAGCGCTGATGGCACCGACACGGCTCGACTCTGCTCTCGTCAGAGGTACTGGAAATGAAAGTAAGGTCGCCAATGAATTGGATTCTTTGGGGCCACGAAGAGGGACAACCTCTTGGTTTGGCAGGACGTGCGTTTCTGAAGAACTGCTCTCCAGAGGGAGGCACGGGACGAGGGAAACCGGAGCAAAAATCTCTGATGAACGCCTCACAAGGAACCACGAGCGCCGCCATTGAGCCAGAGCGGTGCGTGAGTTTCACAACAACAAGGTCAAACATCCCACTGGTTTTATGCTGCTCTCTTTATGTTTTCAGAAAAAAAAACACAAGTTCTGTTGCTTATTTAAGTTAAACTATCCTATGTATTTTATATGTGGCCCAAGGCGACTCCTCTTCACTCAGTACGGGTGAAGGTGAGCCAAAAGGTTGGACTCCCTTGAGACAGATGATGGAACCACGGGACGGTTGGGTTGGAAAGGTCCTTAAAGATCATAGAGCCACGGGATGGTTGGATTGGAAAGGTCCTTAAAGATCATAGAGTCACGGGATGGTTGGATTGGAAAGGTCCTTAAAGATCATAGAGTCACGGGATGCTTGGACTGGAAAGGTCCTTAAAGATCATAGAGCCACGGGATGGTTGGATTGGAAAGGTCCTTAAAGATCATAGAGCCACGGGATGGTTGGATTGGAAAGGTCCTTAAAGATCATAGAGCCACGGGATGGTTGGATTGGAAAGGTCCTTAAAGATCATAGAGCCACGGGATGGTTGGATTGGAAAGGTCCTTAAAGATCATAGAGTCACAGGATGCTTGGATTGGAAAGGTCCTTAAAGATCATAGAGTCACAGGATGGTTGGATTGGAAAGGTCCTTAAAGATCATAGAGTCACGGGATGCTTGGACTGGAAAGGTCCTTAAAGATCATAGAGCCACGGGATGGTTGGATTGGAAAGGTCCTTAAAGATCATAGAGCCACGGGATGGTTGGATTGGAAAGGTCCTTAAAGATCATAGAGCCACGGGATGGTTGGATTGGAAAGGTCCTTAAAGATCATAGAGCCACGGGATGGTTGGATTGGAAAGGTCCTTAAAGATCATAGAGCCACGGGATGGTTGGATTGGAAAGGTCCTTAAAGATCATAGAGCCACGGGATGGTTGGATTGGAAAGGTCCTTAAAGATCATAGAGTCACGGGATGGTTGGACTGGAAAGGTCCTTAAAGATCATAGAGTCACGGGATGGTTGGATTGGAAAGGTCCTTAAAGATCATAGAGTCACAGGATGGTTGGATTGGAAAGGTCCTTAAAGATCATAGAGTCACGGGATGGTTGTATTGGAAAGGTCCTTAAAGATCATAGAGCCATGGGATGGTTGGATTGGAAAGGTTCTTAAAGATCATAGAGTCATAGGATGGTTGGATTGGAAAGGTCCTTAAAGATCATAGAGTCATAGGATGGTTGGATTGGAAAGGTCCTTAAAGATCATAGAGCCACGGGATGGTTGGATTGGAAAGGTCCTTAAAGATCATAGAGCCATGGGATGGTTGGATTGGAAAGGTTCTTAAAGATCATAGAGTCATAGGATGGTTGGATTGGAAAGGTCCTTAAAGATCATAGAGCCACGGGATGCTTGGACTGGAAAGGTCCTTAAAGATCATAGAGCCATGGGATGATTGGATTGGAAAGGTTCTTAAAGATCATAGAGTCATAGGATGGTTGGATTGGAAAAGTCCTTAAAGATCATAGAGCCACGGGATGGTTGGATTGGAAAGGTCCTTAAAGATCATAGAGCCACGGGATGGTTGGATTGGAAAGGTTCTTAAAGATCATAGAGTCACGGGATGGTTGGATTGGAAAGGTCCTTAAAGATCATAGAGCCACGGGATGGTTGGATTGGAAAGGTCCTTAAAGATCATAGAGCCACGGGATGGTTGGATTGGAAAGGTCCTTAAAGATCATAGAGCCATGGGATGGTTGGATTGGAAAGGTCCTTAAAGATCATAGAGTCACGGGATGCTTGGATTGGAAAGGTCCTTAAAGATCACAGAACCCTGGGAAGGCTGGGTTGGAAGGGTCCTTAAAGAGCTATGGAACGGATTGGGTTGGAGTGGTGCCCCCACCAGCACCTCCGCAGCTCCATGAATCCACTGCTATGAACCAGCACAGTGCTGCCAGCCCTGCAGAACACTGCCCAACTCTGCACTGCCTTTATCATAACAGGATGAACTTTATCATGATCGGGTAGGGTCTGTGCAGCCCACGGGGTGCAGTGGGGACTGAACAACCCCCAGGACCCCATGGGGGTGCAGAGTAGCATGGAAACAACAGCACAGAGCAGGCACAGCCTTACCGATGAACATGGGTGCAGCTGCTCGGATTTCCACCCAGGAGCTCTTGAAGTAGAAGAGGTTGGTCAGAACCAGACGGTTCAGCATCTCCGGGTAGCTCTGCATCTGCAGGATGCAACGCAGAATCACAGAGCTGGAAGGGCTGGAAGGGACTTGTGGAGATCCTCCAGTCCAAACCCCCCAACTGGTCGCCCTCTTGGCCACCAGGCTTCGCGGTTGGCTCACAGTCAACTGTTGGTCAACCATTATTCAACCACTGGACAACCACTGGTTGACCATTCAACTCTTGGTCAACCATTAGCCAACTGTTGGCCAATTGCTGTTCAACCACTGGTGAACCTTGGGTCAACCATGGGTCAACCGCTGGTCAACAATTCAAGTCCAATCATTTTTCTGGATCTCCAGTTCAAACTCTGGTCAACCATTGGTCAATCATTCAATCACTGGTTAATTGTTGATCAAGCGTTGGTCAACCATTGGTCAATTGTTAGTTAACCAGCAGACAAACATTCAATCATTGGTCAACTTTTGGTCACACACTGGTCAACTGTTGGACAACTACTGGCCAACCATTCAAGTCCAATGGTCAACCATTTTCTAGATATCCAGTTCAACCACTTGTCAACCATTGGTCAACCGTTCAACCTCTGCTCAACTGCTGGTTAACTTTAGGGTCAACCAGTGATTCAACCATTAGCCAACCACTCAACCAGGGGCCAACCACTGTTCTACTGTTGTTCAACCGTTGTTCAACACTTGGATCATCCATTGGTCAACAACTGGGTCAACCATTGGTCAACCACTGTTCAACAGCTGGGTCAACCATTGGTCAGCCACTGTTCAACAACTGGGTCAACCATTGGTCAACCACTGTTCAACCATTGGGTCAACCATTGGTCAACCACTGTTCAACAACTGGGTCAACCATTGGTCAACCACTGTTCAACCATTGGGTCAACCATTGATCAGCCACTGTTCAACAACTGGGTCAACCATTGGTCAACCACTGTTCAACCATTGGGTCAACCATTGGTCAACCACTGTTCAACAGCTGGGTCAACCATTGGTCAACCACTGTTCAACCATTGGGTCAACCATTGGTCAGCCACTGTTCAACAATTGGGTCAACCATTGGTCAGCCACTGTTCAACCATTGGTCAACCATTGGTCAGCCACTGTTCAACAATTGGGTCAACCATTGGTCAACCACTGTTCAACCATTGGGTCAACCATTGGTCAGCCACTGTTCAACCATTGGGTCAACCATTGGTCAACCACTGTTCAACCATTGGGTCAACCATTGGTCAACCACTGTTCAACAGCTGGGTCAACCATTGGTCAACCACTGTTCAACCATTGGGTCAACCATTGGTCAGCCACTGTTCAACAATTGGGTCAACCATTGGTCAACCACTGTTCAACCATTGGGTCAACCATTGGTCAGCCACTGTTCAACAACTGGGTCAACCATTGGTCAACCACTGGCCAACCATTCAACTACTGGTCAACTGCTGGTCAACTGCTGGTCAACAGTTGGTCAACTATTGGTCAATCAATCGCTGGTCAACCATTTTCCAACCTCTGTCCACCCGCTGGCCAGCCGGGCAGCACTCACCAGGTGCTTGCAGACGTTGTTCATGAACTCTCCGTAGTGCAGGCTCCGGTCCTCGCGCAGGTGGTTCAGGAACATGTCGCACAGCCCCTCACAGCCCATGTTGGGGCCGCACATGCGCAGAGCGAACTTGCAGGCCTGCAGCACGCACACAGGGGGAGGTTGCAGCGTGCCGGGGGACTCAACGCATCGCCGCATCGCCGCATCGCCGCCCCCCCCCTTGCCGTGCGCTCACCCTGACGACCTCAGGTTTGGGGTCCTGGAGGTGCAGCAGCAACGTCACCAGCCCGTTGAGGATCTGCTCGAAGAACGCCTCGCAGTCGCCCTCGCTGAATTTGGTCAGGTTGCCGAAGAGCACGATGGATGAGCGGCGGAGGTCGGGCTGCTCCTGCAGGCGGGGACAAGCTGGGGCTCAGGGGCCGCCGTTGGGTGTGAACTCCCGAATTTCAACCCAATGTCAGCCCCATCCCCTGGGCAGGAGCCCCACAAGAGGAAGGGAACAGATGGGGGACGCTGGGGACAATGTTTCCGTGCTGCATTCACCTCCAACCATTTGAGGGAGCTCAGTAATACCCACCCTATGCACAGTGCCCAGCCCAGACCCTGCGGTCCATCGAGACCCCGTGCCCAGAGCAGGCTCTGCCAGCCCGTTCCCTTACGCTGTCAAAGAAGGGCCGGATCCTGATGGCGATGTGCAGGAGCGTGGCCCGCACGTCCCTCTCCTCCAGGTACTCCAGAAGCTTGGACAGACTGGTCATGGCCTCTAAGGCCACCAGGTTGTTGGGGTCGTCTCTGTCATCCATGCCGTTGACCATGGACGCCAGCAGCTTGGCCCCATGCTTATGCACCTGTGAGGGAAGTGATGAGAGCTGGAATTAAAACGAAATTACAGCATAAACCCAAGGTAAGTCTGCCATCACTTCGCCTTTGCAATTTGGAGGATGGCTGGGAAAAGGACAAAGCACAGCCCTACACTGTGGGGATGTGCAAGAATCATAGGATCACAATGGCTGGAAAAGACCAACATCATCCAGTCCAACTGTAAGGGAGAAGGAGACCCGTGGCGGCTGGGAATTGTTAAGGTTGGAAAAGAGCTCCAAGATCCCCAACTCCGACCCAAACCCACCCAAACCCACCTCCCCATGACCCTAAATAAAGTCATTTAGGTTGGAGAAGACCTCTGAGATCCCCTGTCCAATCCCAACCCATCCCACTACGACCCTAAATAGTCATAAAGGTTGGAAGACACCTCCAAGACCTGCAACCCCAACTCACTCCTACCATAACCCCAATTAAAACCACTGAGTCATTACAGCTGGAAGAGACCTCCAAGATCATTCAGTTCAAATCCAACCCATCCCACCATGACCCTAAATAGAACCACAGGATCTTTCCGGTTGGAAGAGACCGCTAGGATCACCCAGCCCAACTGCAAACCACCCCACCACCCCCTCTGACCATGTCTCCAAGAGCCACATCCTCACATCCTCGCATCCTCACATCCTCACATCTATTCAATCCCTCCTTGGATGAGACTCCACCACCTCCCTGTGCACTTCTGGCAAGATTTCCCCCAATGCCCGACCCCAAATCTGCCCTAGCACAAATTGACCCCACCTCACCACAGCCCCTTTGGGGTCACTGTAGGGAGCCCGGAGCCACTCTGGCTCCAGCACTATGGGGCAGCTGTGGCCCCAGCGCAGATCCCAAAGGACACGGAGCAGCACGCTGAGCACCTGAGAACCACGGGGGGGGCTGTAGGACCCTAACATGCCACAGAGATTGCCCCGCTCAGCTCCTGTGTGTGGGGTGGGAGAGCAGGAGGAGGAGGGCTGGGCTCCCAGGATCAAACCATCACGGAGTCATTGGGGTTGGACAAGACCTCGGAGATCCCCAACCCAACCCATCCCCACTGACCACATCCCCAGGTACCACATCTCCATGCTTCCCGACCACCCCCGGGGTCGGTGACTCCACCCCCACCCCAGGCAGCCCATTTCCAGTGCCCGACCACTTTGGAGAAGAAATTTCTCCCTCATCCCACCATACCCACCGAAGACAGCAGTGGGACACAAAGGCCTCGCCATTGCACCGTCACCAGGGTGAGGACGTGGCCAACAGCCCCATTCCCAGAGCAGGCAGTGCCCCCCATAAGCACCCTCCTCCCCCCCCCCCCCAGCCCCAGAGGACCCGACCAGCTCCGTGCCGTTTGCTCCCACCTTTTCGGGTGCCCCCACGGCGATGTTGCCCAGCCCCCGCAGCGCCAGCACGCGCACCAGCAGACACGGGTCCTTCTGCCGCCCCGTCAAGCTGTCCATCACGCTCTCCAGCAGGATCAGGTCGTTCACCACGTTACTGCTCAGCAGCTGAGGGAGAACGGAGCGGTGGGATGGCAGCCCCCCATCCCACGGGTGGCTGAGGCGGTGGGTGGGGAGCTGCCACTGCTTTGTGCCCAGGGCGAGACGCCTGCGCCTGGGTTTCAGCTCTGGATTTCAGCTCTCAGCTCAGAACTGCAAACGGGCAACTCCTCACAGCCCTCAGGCCCAGGGAACACGCAGGGATGGAGGGCACCGACAGCTGGGAGGGACCCAACCCCATCCCTGGGACCCACCGAGCTCAGATCACTTCTGGGTGAGCCGAGGGCAGCAGGGAGAGGCTGGGGGCTGAGGGGAAAAGCACGGCCCCAGCTGCAGAGCAGCAGCACAGCCCCATGGCTCCGGCAGCATCCCCGCAGGCACTGCCCCACGGCTCCAGCAGCAGGAGCACAGCTCTGGGAACGTTCCCATTGTCAGAGCAGCAGAGCACAGCTCCAGGAGCATCCCCAGCTGCAGAGTAGCAGAGCGCGGCCCCGTCACCCCAGGAGAATCCTAGCAGCTGGAGCACAGCTCCTCGCACCCAGGAGCATTCCCAAGAGCAGAACGGCAGGAGCACAACTCCACAACTCCAAGAGCATCGCCAGCAGCAGAAGCACAGCTCCAGGAGCATCCCCAGCAATACGGCAGCAGGAGCACAGCCCCATGGCCCCAGCAGCATCGCCAGCAGCTGGAGCGCAGCGTCAGGAACGCTCCCAGCGGTGCAGCAGCAGGAGCATGACTCCAGGAGCAATCCCAGCTGCAGAGCAACAGGAGCACGGCCCCACGACTCCAAGAGCATCCCAGCAGCAGGAGCTCAGCCCCAGGGGCGGCCCCAGCAGCGGGAGCACAGTTCCATGTACCAGGAGTAAATCCAGGAGTAGAGCAGCAGCAGGAGCACGACCCCGTCACCCCAGCAGCGTCCCCAGCAGCAGGAGCACGGCCCCACAGTTGCAGGAACATCCCAGCAGCAAAACACAGAGCTCCTGGCAAGCAGTGCAGAGCCCCGCAGTGCTGTGAGCTGCTGGCCGTGCGCCGAGCCGGGGGCTGCCGGGGCTGCTCTCCCACTGACCCCCACCCCTGGGGACCCGGCTCATTGCAAACAGAAATGGAGGAGCTGTTAATGACACGGGTTAACGAGCTGTGTGGAGCTGCTGGGTGCAGGGCAGAGCAGGGGCTACTGCAGGTGGCAGTGACCAAAATATGGCACCTCATGGCAACCCGTGGCACAGACCTGGCACACCACGGTGTCCCCGGGCACAGACCTGGCACAAAAAGCAGGGAGACTCCATGGCACAGACCTGGCACCTGGCACAGGGACCCCATGGCACAAACCTGGCCCCAAGTGCAGGGACCCCATGGCACAGTCCTGGCACCTGGCACAGGAACCCCATGGCATAAAACCTGGCACAGACCTGACATCCACGGAACCTTGTGGCACAGACCTGACATCCCATGGCACACTCCATGGCAAAGAATGGGGAATCCATGGTGCCCCATGGCCACAGACCTGGCACCGGGACCCCACGGCACAAAGCCTGGCACCCCATGGCACAGACCTGGCACTTGGCAAAGGGACCCCATGGCACAAAGCCTGGCACCCCATGGCACAGATCTGGCACTTGGCAAAGGGACCCCACGGCACAAAGCCTGGCACCCCATGGCACAGATCTGGCACTTGGCAAAGGGACCTCATGGCACAAAGCCTGGCACCCCATGGCACAGATCTGGCACTTGGCAAAGGGACCCCAGGCACAAAGCCTGGCACCCCATGGCACAGATCTGGCACTTGGCAAAGGGACCCCATGGCACAAAACCTGGCACCCCATGGCACAGATCTGGCACTTGGCAAAGGGACCCCATGGCACAAAGCCTGGCACCCCATGGCACAGATCTGGCACTTGGCAAAGGGACCCCATGGCACAAAGCCTGGCACCCCATGGCATAGATCTGGCACTGCACGGCACCCCATAGCACTGGGATCCTCGGGATGGCCTATGGCACACCATGACGCCCCATGGCACAGACCTGGCACTTGGCAAAGAGACCCCACGGCACAAAGCCTGGCACCCCATGGCACAGATCTGGCACTTGGCAAAGGGACCCCATGGCACAAAACTTGGCACCCCATGGCACAGATCTGGCACTTGGCAAAGGGACCCCACGGCACAAAACCTGGCACCCCATGGCACAGATCTGGCACTTGGTAAAGGGACCCCATGGCACAAAACCTGGCACCCCATGGCACAGATCTGGCACTTGGTAAAGGGACCCCATGGCACAAAACCTGGCACCCCATGGCACAGATCTGGCACTTGGTAAAGGGACCCCATGGCACAAAACCTGGCACCCCACGGCACAGATCTGGCACTGCACGGCACCCCATGGCACTGGGATCCTCGGGACGGCCTATAGCACACCATGACGCCCCATGGCACAGACCTGGCACTTGGCAAAGAGACCCCATGGCACAAAGCCTGGCACCCCATGGCACAGACCTGGCACTTGGTAAAGGGACCCCACGGCACAAAGCCTGGCACCCCATGGCACAGATCTGGCACTTGGTAAAGGGACCCCATGGCACAAAGCCTGGCACCCCATGGCACAGATCTGGCACTTGGCAAAGGGACCCCATGGCACAAAGCCTGGCACCCCATGGCACAGATCTGGCACTTGGCAAAGGGACCCCATGGCACAAAGCCTGGCACCCCATGGCACAGATCTGGCACTTGGCAAAGGGACCCCACGGCACAAAACCTGGCACCCCACGGCACAGATCTAGCACTTGGCAAAGGGACCCCATGGCACAAAGCCTGGCACCCCATGGCACAGATCTGGCACTTGGCAAAGGGACCCCATGGCACAAAGCCTGGCACCCCATGGCACAGATCTGGCACTTGGCAAAGGGACCCCACGGCACAAAACCTGGCACCCCACGGCACAGATCTAGCACTTGGCAAAGGGACCCCATGGCACAAAGCCTGGCACCCCATGGCACAGATCTGGCACTTGGCAAAGGGACCCCATGGCACAAAACCTGGCACCCCACGGCACCCCATGGCACAGACTCGGCACCACCAGCAGTGCCAGGAGGGCCCACTGCCACGGCTCCCCGACGCCGCAGCCCCGCGGCCGTCCCCTCCCGGCTCTCACTCTGTCATCTCCGTCACCGGCACCGCCGCGAGCGGAGGGACCGAGCTCTCACCTCATCAGTTTGGAGAGAGGGAGACACAGGCATTTGCTTCCTTCCCCTCCCGCCCCACGGTGAGGCAAAGCCGCTATTTTAAACCCCCCCCCAAAAAAAAGAAAAGGACGCCGAGAGCCAACGGCGCTCCAAAACGAAAGCAGATTCTGGGATGGGAGCCAAGAGCCGGAGCCGGCGGCTGCCACGGCCAAACAGAAAATAAAAACAGGGCCCTCGTCCCGGGCTGCTTAAAGCAGCTGAGAATTTAAAAGGTGGTTTATAAGCGAGGATATAGCTCTGCCTTGTTGGCATAAGGCGTTCCTTTATGTAACAGAACCTCCTCGAGTGGCCCCGGGCTCGATGGTGGTATGGAGATACGGTTACGGGTTCTGGCGGGGAGAGGAGAAGCCTTGAGTCACCTCATTCCTGGGGTGGGACGTAAAGAGGGAGCTCGGCGCTGCTGCTGCATGGCAGCCGCACATTCAGGGCCGGAGCCTGAATGCTTCCTCCGCCGGTCCCTCTGTTGCAGGGTTAGGATGGCACCAAGGGATGAGAATACGGCCCCACTGCGGTCAGCAATGGCGCTTCCTCGACCCTAAGCGTGCAGCAGAGTAGGTCAGGGCTGAGCTGATGGAAGGGAGTTCTGTGGAGAAGGAGCTGGGGGTCTTGGAGGCCAAAGGTTGACCCAACGGTTGAGCATGAGACAGCACCGTGCCCTGGTGGCCAAGAGGGCCGATGGTTCATCAGTGATTGATCGAGAGACAGCAGTGAGCCTCAAGGCCAAGAGAGCCAACGGTTGAACAACAACCAACCAGCGGTTGACCAGTGGTTGACCGTGAGCCAGTAGTGCGTCCTGGTGGCCAAAAGGACCAATGGTTGACCACAAGCCAGCAGAGTGCCCTTGTGGCCAAGAAGGCCAACGGTTGACCAACTGTTGACCAATAGTTGACCAACAATGGACCAGTGGATGATCAGCGATTGACCAACAGCTGACCATGAGCCAGCAGTGAGCCCTAGAGGCCAAGAGAGCCAACGGGACCCTGTAGTGCACTGCCAGATTGCAGCCAGCGGGGCAGGGAGGTGCTGCTCCCCTCTGCTCTGCCCTGCAGGCACTGCTGGAGCGCTGGGCTCCCAGTTCAGGGCAGACTGGGAAGTGCTGGGAGAGCCCAGCGGAGGGTGTGGGGATGGGGGGCCTGGAGGCCCTCCTGGTGGGGATGGGCTGAGAGCCCCGGGGCTGTGCAGCTGGGGGAGAGAAGGCTGAGAGGGGTGTGAGCAGTGCTGATGGGTATCTGGGGGGTGGGGGTGGAAGAAGGGAGCCAGGTTGAGCTGGGGGAGCTCCAGAGGTCCCTTCCAGCCCCTATGGATCTGGAATTTGGGGATTCTGCACGGTTGTGCCCTGCTCACCTCAGCCAGGAAGGCGGTGGCAGTGACGCGTTGGCTGTCGAAGGCGCTGCTCAGCGTGGGGACGAGGCTCTTGACAATGAGGGGCAGGCGGGGGCCAGCATGCTGTGCCATGGAGCTGCAGGGAGAAGGGACTGTCAACCGCACAGCCCTCAGCCCCCGGTCATCAGTGCCTTGTCTCCAAATGCCACCAGCCCCCAGTGCCCCTGTCCCCAGTGCCCCCATCCCCAATGCCTCCAGCCCTCAATGCCCGCCGCTGATGCCTGCAGTTCTGCAATGCCCCCAACCCCCAATTCTTCCAGTCCCCCAGTGCTGCCCCCTGTCCCCAGTGTCCCCAAGTCCCCAACGCCCCCATTTCCAACGCCCGTCTCCACTGCCCCCAGTGCCCCCAGTCTTCAACGCCCCCTTCCCCTCAATGCCCTCAGTTCCCAGTGCCACCATCCGCCACGACCTCATCGCCGGTGCCCCCAATCCTCCATGCCCCTGTCCCTAAAGCACTCAGTCCTCAACATCCGTGTCCCCCAATGCCCCCAGTCCCCAACAACCCTGCCCTTCATGCTCCCTGTCCCCAATGCCCTCACCCTCCAATACCCCCGTCCTTGTGCCCCCCCACACCCCCTGCCCTCACCCAGCCAGCACAGTGACGCCCTCGTGGTGCCGCTCAGGGTTCTCCATCAGCTCCCATCCGCCAGCTCTGCCCACAGCCGTGGCCACAGCCTCACTGCCACCCCGTGCCAGCATGGCCCGCAGCGTCTGCACTGCACAGCTGGGGAGAAGCACGGCGACGTCACACTGTGCACCATCGCATCACGTTGCCATGCTGTACCGTTACACCACGTCACGATGCTGTGTATTGTCAGACTGCACTGTCACGCCGTGCCGCCGCACCGCATCGTCACGTTGTACCATCAGACCAAGTCACATCACACCATCGCGACGCTTTGTCACCTCGTACCACCGCACAGCGCTGCCACGCTGTACTGCCACGTCGCGCCTTCACTTTGTCAGAGGGCTGGAGCACCTCTCATATGAGGAGATGCTGGGGGAACTGGGCTTGTTCAGCTTGGAGAAGGCGGGGGAGAGAACTCATGGTGGCCTTCCAGTGATTGGAGGGAGGGAATAAACAGGAGGGGGAACGGCTGTTTGCATGAGTGGATAGCGATAAGACAAGGGGAATGGTTTTAAACTGAGACAGGGGAGGTTTGGGTTGGATATGAGGAGGAAGTTTTTCAGCCAGAGGGTGGTGAGGCACTGGCACAGCTTGCCCAAGGAGGCTGTGGATGCCCCATCCCTACAGGCATTGGAGGCCAGGCTGGATGTGGCTCTGGGCAGCCTGGGCTGCTGGTTGGCGACCTGCACACAGCAGGGGTTGGAAGCAGGTGAGCATTGGGGCCTTTGTAACCCAGGTCATTCTAGGATTCTGTGATTATTATGTTGTGCCAACACACTGTGCTGTCACCCTGTACCATCACACCACACCGTTACCCTGTACCATCACACCACATCATCACCCTGTACCATCACATCACACCGTCACCCTGTACCATCACATCACGCCATCACCCTGTACCATCACATCACACCATCACCCTGTACCATCACACCACATCATCACCCTGTACCATCACATCACACCGTCACCCTGTACCATCACATCACGCCATCACCCTGTACCATCACATCACACCATCACCCTGTACCATCACACCACATCATCACCCTGTACCATCACACCATCACCCTGTACCATCACATCACACCATCACCCTGTACCATCACACCATCACCCTGTACCATCACACCACATCATCACCCTGTACCATCACATCACATCATCACCCTGTACCATCACACCACACCATCACCCTGTACCATCACATCACATCATCACCCTGTACCATCACACCACACCATCACCCTGTACCATCACACCACATCATCACCCTGTACCATCACACCATCACCCTGTACCATCACACCACATCATCACCCTGTACCATCACACCATCACCCTGTACCATCACATCACACCATCACCCTGTACCATCACACCATCACACTGTACCATCACACCACATCATCACCCTGTACCATCACATCACATCATCACCCTGTACCATCACACCACACCATCACCCTGTACCATCACACCACATCATCACCCTGTACCATCACACCACACCATCACCCTGTACCATCACATCACATCATCACCCTGTACCATCACACCACATCATCACCCTGTACCATCACATCACATCATCACCCTGTACCATCACACCACACCATCACCCTGTACCATCACACCACATCATCACCCTGTACCATCACACCATCACCCTGTACCATCACACCACATCATCACCCTGTACCATCATACCATCACCCTGTACCATCACATCACACCATCACCCTGTACCATCACACCATCACCCTGTACCATCACACCACATCATCACCCTGTACCATCACACCACACCATCACCCTGTACCATCACACCATCACCCTGTACCATCACACCGTCACCCTGAAGCATCACACCACACCATCACCCTGTACCATCACATCACACCATCACCCTGTACCATCACACCACATCATCACCCTGTACCATCACACCATCACCCTGTACCATCACATCACATCATCACCCTGTACCATCACACCATCACCCTGTACCATCACACCACATCATCACCCTGTACCATCACACCATCACCCTGTACCATCACATCACACCATCACCCTGTACCATCACACCACATCATCACCCTGTACCATCACACCACACCATCACCCTGTACCATCACATCACATCATCACCCTGTACCATCACACCACACCATCACCCTGTACCATCACATCGCATCATCACCCTGTACCATCACACCACATCATCACCCTGTACCATCACATCACATCATCACCCTGTACCATCACACCACATCATCACCCTGTACCATCACACCACACCGTCACCCTGTACCATCACATCACATCATCACCCTGTACCATCACATCACATCATCATCCTGTACCATCACACCACGCCATCACCCTGTACCATCACACCACACCATCACCCTGTACCATCACATCACATCGTCACCCTGTACCATCACACCACACCATCACCCTGTACCATCCCATCACATCATCACCCTGTACCATCACATCACATCATCACCCTGTACCATCACATCACATCATCATCCTGTACCATCACACCACGCCATCACCCTGTACCATCACATCACATCATCATCCTGTACCATCACACCACATCATCACCCTGTACCATCACACCACATCATCACCCTGTACCATCACATCACACCATCACCCTGTACCATCACACCACATCATCACCCTGTACCATCACAATCACATCATCACCCTGTACCATCACACCACACCGTCACCCTGTACCATCACATCACACCATCACCCTGTACCATCACATCACACCATCACCCTGTACCATCACACCACATCATCACCCTGTACCATCACATCACATCATCACCCTGTACCATCACACCACACCGTCACCCTGTACCATCACATCACACCGTCACCCTGTACCATCACACCACACCGTCACCCTGTACCATCACATCACACCATCACCCTGTACCATCACACCACACCGTCACCCTGTACCATCACACCACATCATCACCCTGTACCATCACACCATCACCCTGTACCATCACATCACATCATCACCCTGTACCATCACATCACACCGTCACCCTGTACCATCACACCACGCCGTCACCCTGTACCATCACACCACATCATCACCCTGTACCATCACATCACATCATCACCCTGTACCATCACACCACACCGTCACCCTGTACCATCACACCACATCATCACCCTGTACCATCACACCACACCGTCACCCTGTACCATCACACCACACCGTCACCCTGTACCATCACATCACATCATCACCCTGTACCATCACACCACACCATCACCCTGTACTATCACACCACATCATCACCCTGTACCATCACATCACATCATCACCCTGTACCATCACACCACATCATCACCCTGTACCATCACATCGCATCATCACCCTGTACCATCACACCACATCATCACCCTGTACCATCACACCACACCATCACCCTGTACCATCACACCACGTCATCACCCTGTACCATCACACCACACCAATACCCTGTACCATCACACCACACCATCACCCTGTACCATCACACCACACCAATACCCTGTACCATCACACCACACCATCACCCTGTACCATCACATCACATCATCACCCTGTACCATCACACCACGCCGTCACCCTGTACCATCACCCCACGCCGTCACATTGCACAGCCACACCACACTGTCACACCACACCACCACGCTGTGCCTCCCAGCCCCATAGCACAGCCCCATAGCAGGGCTGCCCCCCATCAGTGCAGGAGCAGCTCCATGTGCTGTGACAACGCCATTACCGCAACCCAGGAGAGTGGGCTGAAAAGGAAAGCAGTCCAGAGCTGCTGGAAGGTAGGTTTTTTTTGCATTAGTATTTTATAGGTGGGGATTATTTTGCTGCGAGCGTGGAGCAACATATGGGAACCATACGTTATCCTGTCGCAGCAAAACAAGTATTGGTGATGGAGCAATCCTGGCTGTCAGTGTGAGTGCAGATGGAGAACACACGGCTCAGGACGGCGTCCCGACACAGGCGATGCCAAACCACCACTGCCAACCACAGCTCTGCCAAGGACCAGAGCCAACCACGGACCACCACTACCACCATCAGCTAAGGGCCACCCCCACCAACCACGGCTGTGCCGAGGACCACCACCAACCATGGACCACTGCCAACCAAGGACCACCACCACCATCGGCCATGGACCACCACCAACCATGGACCAACACTACAACCATGGAACCACCACCAACCATGGGCCACCAGCAACCATGGACCACTGCCAACCAAGGACCACCACCACAACAATGGACCACCGTCACCTATGGACCACGGCTTTGCCAAGGACCACCCCAAACCATGGACCACCACCACCAACCATGGACCACTATCACAAACATGGGCTACCACCACAACCATAGACCACCACCAACCATGGACCAACACCACAACCATGGAACCACCAGCAACCACAGACCACTGCCAACCAAGGACCACCATCAGCCATGGATCACCACCACCAACCAGGCTGTGCCAAGGACCACCACCAACCATGGAACCACCACCACAACCATGGAACCACCAGCAACCACAGACCACTGCCAACCAAGGACCACCACCACCATCAGCCATGGATCACCACCAACAACCACAGCTGTGCCAATGACCACCATCAACCATGGACCACCACCACAATCATGGAACCACCACCAACCATGGGCCACCAGCAACCACAGACCACTGCCAACCAAGGACCACCACCACCATCAGTCACAGATCACCAACAACAACCACAGCTGTGCCAAAGACCACCACCAACCATGGACCACCACCACAACCATGGACCACCACCAACCATGGGCCACCAGCAACCATGGACAACTGCCAACCAAGGACCACCACCACCATCAGCCATGGATCACCACCAACAACCACAGCTGTGCCAATGACCACCATCAACCATGGAACCACCACCACAACCATGGACCACCACCAACCATGGACCAGTGCCACGATGATGGACCACCATCATCCATGGACCAGCTCCACCAACCACGGCTGTGCTGAGGACAACTGCCAGCTGTGATTCACCATTGCCAACCATAGCTGGTGCCACAGACCACCACCAACAACCATGGATTACCACCATCAGCCACGGGCCACCAACAACAACCGCAGCTGGTGTCGAGGACCATCACCAACCATGGAACTCCATCACCAACTGACCAAGTGCCAAGGACAACCATCAACCACAGACCACCACCACCAACTACAGGCCACCTGATAGTTTCAGCTACAGCTGCTGCCAAAGACCAGCGCCAATGGGCCACCACCACCAATCACAGCCACTGCCAAGGACCGCCAGCACCAACCATGGACCATCACCATCAGCCATGGACCACCGCCTCCAGCCATGACTGGTGCCATGGGCCACTGCCACCAACGACAGCTCTTACTGAGGACCACCACGAACCATGGATCACCATCACCAATCATGGCAGGTGCCATGGACCACCACCACTAAGCGCAGCTTGTACCAGGGCCCATCATAAGCCACAGATCACCACCATCAGCCACAGACCACCACTGACCGTGTCTGGAGCTGACGACCACTGCCAACCACGGACCACCACCACGAACCACGGCTGGCGCTGAGAACAGCAGCCCTGGATCCGTCCCCCGTTTGCTCCTGGGCTCCAGCCCCCCACTGTGGGGTTGCCCCCGGACTCAAATCTGGATCCCACTCCCGCTGTGGGACAGGGAAGAGCTGCAGCATCATCATCATCAGCAGCTGCAGCAGCAGCACATCACGGGGAGCGCTCTCAGTTCCGCACGGCGAGAACCCTGCGTGAGCCCCAGAACCCCGCACGGTACAGGTGGAGCCGCAGTCAGCCCAGGAAAGCTGCAGCAGGATCGATTTCCTTGCAGCACACGAAAACAGCAGCACAAAAGCCTCTGGCAGACGCTCGCAGAGACCTGATCCTCCCCTTGCTCCGGGCTCGGCCTCGCGGCAGACGCAGCACGAGGCTGCTCCTGCGGGACGGACGCTTCACGGCGTTTGCTTTTCCTACAGACGCTTCCTTCCTCTCCGACAAAGGCTGTGTCTTCCAGCCTCCCCTTCCTGCCAAGCTATCGTGTTCACCTTTACCGTCGCTCTTTGGCATTTAAGGATCAGGGAGATTCAGCATTCAGAACGCGGCCAGGAAGCGGCTTTGATATTGTAACCAGCTCCTGGGACCGAGCTGGAATTTCACATCTCGGCGCGTCAGACAGAGCCTCTTCCCCACCATCCATCAGTGGTGACTTCACGGTTACGTGGCCCCGGCCACCAGCTCACACCCAATGTGGCCACGCAGCCACCGGCCACCCGGCCCTGGGCATTTCTGGAAGGGTCTCACACAATGCCACTGCCTCGATGCTCTCCGAGCACAGGTAATGCCATGGACCGCCATCAACCACGCATCACCACCAACAACCACAGACCACCATCAGCCACGAGCCATCACCAACAATCATGAACCACCAGCACCAAGCACAGACCACCAACAACAACCATGTACCACCAACAACAACCATGTACCACCAACAACAACCATGTACCACCAACAACCATGTACCACCAACAACAACCATGTACTACCAACAACAACCATGTAGAAACAACAACAACAATGTATCACCAACAACCATGTACCACCAACAACCATGTACCACCAACAACAACCATGTACCACCAACAACAACCATGTACCACCAACAACCATGTTCCACCAACAACAACCATGTACCACCAACAACCATGTACCACCAACAACAACCATGTACTACCAACAACCATGTACCACCAACAACAACCATGTACCACCAACAACCATGTACCACCAACAACAACCATGTACCACCAACAACAACCATGTACCACCAACAACCATGTACCACCACCAACAACCATGCACCACCACCAACAACCATGTACCACCAACAACAACCATGTACCACCAACAACAACCATGTATCACCAACAACAACCATGTACCAACAACAACAACCATGTACCACCAACAACCATGTATCACCAACAACAACCATGTACCAACAACAACCATGTACCACCAACAACCATGTATCACCAACAACAACCATGTACCACCAACAACCATGTACCACCAACAACAACCATGTACCACCAACAACAACCATGTACCACCAACAACCATGTATCACCAACAACAACCATGTACCAACAACAACAACCATGTATCACCACCAACAACCATGTACCACCAACAACCATGTACCACCACCAACAACCATGTATCACCAACAACCATGTACCAACAACAACCATGTACCACCAACAACAACCATGTACCACCAACAACCATGTACCACCAACAACCATGTACCACCAACAACAACCATGTACCACCAACAACCATGTTCCACCAACAACCATGTACCACCAACAACCATGTACCACCACCAACAACCATGTACCACCAACAACAACCATGTACCACCAACAACAACCATGTACCACCAACAACCATGTACCACCACCAACAACCATGTACCACCAACAACCATGTACCACCACCAACAACCATGTACCACCAACAACCATGTACCACCACCAACCATGTACCACCAACAACCATGTACCACCACCAACAACCATGTACCACCACCAACCATGTACCACCAACAACCATGTACCACCACCAACAACCATGTACCACCAACAACCATGTACCACTAACAACAACCATGTACCACCAACAACCATGTACCACCAACAACCATGTACCACCACCAACAACCATGTACCACCAACAACCATGTACCACCAACAACAACCATGTGCCACCAACAACCATGTACCACCAACAACCATGTACCACCAACAACAACCATGTGCCACCAACAACCATGTACCACCAACAACAACCATGTACCACCAACAACCATGTAGCACCACCAACAACCATGTACCACCAACAACCATGTACCACCACCAACAACCATGTACCACCACCAACCATGTACCACCAACAACCATGTACCACCACCAACAACCATGTACCACCAACAACAACCATGTACCACCAACAACAACCATGTACCACCAACAACCATGTACCACCAACAACAACCATGTGCCACCAACAACCATGTACCACCAACAACAACCATGTAGCACCACCAACAACCACGGACTGTCACCACCACTCGTGGACAACCACCATCAGTCATGATGCATCATTACCAACCACCACCATCAGTCACGGATTGCCACCATCAACTACGGACCACCACCATCAATCACGGACCACCATCACCAACCACAGACCGTCACCACCAACCGTGGACCACCAGCAACAACCGTGGACCACCACAAATAGCCATGAGCCGTCACCATCAGCCAAGGACTTCCCCCATTAGCCACAGGGTGGCCCTCGAGCTGCTGCGGGATCCCGGCCTGCTGCAAGGATTGCTCTGCTCATCCCTTGGGGGTGGGGTGGGGGGGTCACATCATTGTGGACTCTGGGTTTGGAAGAGGACCTCCGAGATCCCCAACCCAACCCCAACCAACCGTGTCCCCAGGTGCCACATCCCCCCACAGAATCACAGAATCACAGAATCACCCGGGTTGGAAGGGACCTCAAGGATCATGTAGTTCCAACCCCCTGCCCAGCAGGGCCACCAAACACACATTCAGATCAGGTTGCCCAGGACCCCGTCCAACCTGGCCTTGAACACGGCCAAGGACGGGGCATCCACAACCTCCCTGGGCAGCCCGTTCCAGGGCCTGACCGCTCTCCTTGTGAAGAACTTCCCCCTAACATCCAACCTCAATCTTCCCTCCCTCAACTTGGATCCATAGTGGATCCCCCAGTTCCTGAAGACCCCAGGATGGTGACCCCACCACCCCTTGGGCAGCCCATGCCAATGTCCGACCGCTCTTTGGCTTAAGAAACGTTTCCAAACATCCAACCTGACCTCGGCTCGTACCCTTCCAGTGCTGTGACACAACGCAGCGTGGGATCCTCCCCACCAGCAGGGCAGAGAACTGGGAGAAAACCACGCACGCAAAAAAAAGCCAAACCCAGCAGAGCCCAACGCACAGCTCAAGGCCGGCTCTACCCGAGCGGCCGCGTCGCGCCGCGTGCCGCACCGTGCGAATGATCCACCCGGCGTTACCTGCAGGGCTGGAGGCTGCGGGACAAGGCCGCGTGGCTGCTGCTCCTCCTCTCCCTGCCCTGCAGGCTCTTCGGTAGCTGAACACCCACGGTGCAGCTGACGCGCAGCAGGAGGGTCACGAAGAGCGGCGCGTAGAGCCCCAGCACCGCCGGCCCAGACTCCGGTGCAGACATGATCTCATGCAGAGCACATGTGGCCTTGGGGGGGGGGGGGGGAGAGGGAGAGAAACAGAGAGAGAGAGCGGGGAAGGGGGGGAGGAGGATTAGGAGGGATCCCCCCCACCCCCGGCCCCGCACCACGCCGCTGTCTGTTGGTAAATAGCGGAGGTTGCGGCTCCGCGCTCGCACAGCGCGTCCCAAACGCAGCCCCGGTGCTGGGAGAGCTCTGCAGATCCACGGGGGAATATCAAGCTGGGCTTTGGGGTCACATTACAGAGCCCCCAGCCCCCGGTGGCAGGGCAGCACCCAGCTCCTCTCTGCCCAGTTTACACCGCGCCGCAACCGGGGGGAGGTGAGAGCAGAGCGGGGCGGCCGGGCTGCACCACCTGCGTCGGGTCCTTCGCAGGAGGAAATTTTCACAGCTGTTTTCCTGCTCAGAGAGCTGCCAAGCGGGGTTTATTTTTTTTTTCGGAGGGGATAAAAAGGCAAAGCGCTCTCTGCCCCGCCGAGGACGGACACCTGAGCGGGTTTTACGAGCGGCGGATTAGCGCCGACGGGCGTCACGCCGCCTTCCAGACCCGCGCCTGGCACGGCCCCCCCGAGCGCGGACACCAGGGACACTCACGGCCATGGGCAGCGGCGTGGCCACGCGCTCCGAGCTGCCGCCCAGCAGGAAGGCTCTGCTCTCCTTGTAGGGCACGTCCCGCCCCACCTTCTCCAGCAGCTGCTCCAGGATCTGCGCCGTCAGGCTGGGCTCCGCGGCCAGGGCCCGCCACATGGCGCACGTGTGGCTGCGGGGAGCAGAGGAGAGAGGGGCTGGGTAAGGACCCTTCCCACCCAACCATCCCGTGGTCCTTTGATCTGCAAGGACCCTTCTGATCCAATCATTCCATGGTCCTATGATCTGCAAGGACCCTTCCCACCCAACCATCCCGTGGTCCTTTGATCTGCAAGGACCCTTCTGATCCAATCATTCCATGGTCCTTCGATCTGCAAGGACCCTTCTGATCCAATCATTCCATGGTCCTTAGATCTGCAAGGACCGTTCTGACCCAATCATTCCATGGTCCTATGATCTGTAAGGACCCTTCCAACCCAACCATCCCGTGGTCCTTTGATCTGCAAGGACCCTTCTGACCCAATTATTCCATGGTCCTTTGATCTGTAATTACCCTTCCCACCCAACCATCCCGTGGTCCTTCGATCTGCAAGGACCCTTCCCATCCAACCATCCCGTGGTCCTATGATCTGCAAGGACCCTTCCCACCCAACCATCCCGTGGTCCTATGATCTGCAAGGACCCTTCCCACCCAACCATCCCGTGGTCCTTCGATCTGCAAGGACCCTTCTGACCCAATCATTCCATGGTCCTATGATCTGCAAGGACCCTTCCCACCCAACCATCCCGTGGTCCTTTGATCTGCAAGGACCCTTCCCACCCAACCATCCCATGGTCCTTTGATCTGCAAGGACCCTTCTGACCCAATCATTCCATGGTCCTTTGATCTGTAATTACCCTTCCCACCCAACCATCCCGTGGTCCTTTGATCTGCAAGGACCCTTCCCACCCAACCATCCCATGGTCCTATGATCTGCAAGGACCCTTCTGACCCAATCATTCCATGGTCCTATGATCTGTAAGGACCTTTCCCACCCAACCATCCCATGGCTCTGATTTACAAGGACCCTTTCAACCCAAACCATTCCATGGTTCTACAATCTGTAAGGACCCTTCCCACCCAATCATTCCATGGTCCTATGATCTGTAAGGACCTTTCCCACCCAACCATCCCATGGCTCTGATTTACAAGGACCCTTTCAACCCAAACCATTCCATGGTTCTACAATCTGTAAGGACCCTTCCCACCCAATCATTCCATGGTCCTATGATCTGTAAGGACCTTTCCCACCCAACCATCCCATGGCTCTGATTTACAAGGACCCTTTCAACCCAAACCATTCCATGGTTCTACAATCTGCAAGGACCCTTCCAACCCAATCCGTTCCATGGCTCTATTATCTGTAAGGACCCTTCCAACCCAACCATTCCATGGCTCTGTGATCTTGAAGGACCCTTCCAAACCAACTCAATCCATTTCATACGGTCTATTAAAACTCCACCAATCCAACCATTCTGTTCTCTTCGAACTTTAAGGACCCTCCCAGTCCAACCCATCCTATGGCTCTATGATCTTTAAGGACCCTTACAACCTACCTGAAGTGAACCCAACCTATTCCATGGTTCAATGGTCTATTAAGACCTTTCCAACCCAAGTATTCTATGGCTCTATGATCTTCAAGGACTCTTCCCATCCATACCCACCATCCCATGGTTATATGATCTTAATGGGCCCTTCTAATCCAACCATTCCACAGCTCTATGATTTTGAAGTACCCTTCCAACCCAATCCATTCCACGGTTCTATGATCTTTGAGGACCCTTCTAACCCAACCCTACCATCCCATGACTCTGTGATCTTGAAGGACCCTTCCAATCCAACCCAACCCAACCCATTCCATGGTTCTACGCTCGGGGCTCAGCCTGGGGCCAGCTATGACACCGTGGAGCTCTGGCTTTGCTGAGCTGCCCCACTCCACAGCCCTGACTGCCTCAACCACACTCAGCTTCGCTCATCCACTCCACTTACACCCCTATGCCCCACAAACCCTCGGCAGCAAGCGGACACAACGATCCTTGAGCTCCCAACAGAAATTCCAGCAAGGGGGAAGGAGCCAAAAAGCTTCGGGCTGCACATGAAGCAAAAGCTGCTCTGGATGCAGGTACCTGTCGAAGGGCAGCGCGCTGCCCAGCAGGCTGGACACCACCACGCCGGTGTGCTGGGCTGCCAGGATGTACACCGTCTGCTGGGCTGCCTTGCGCACGTGCTCCTCGTCCACCTCCTGCAGCTTGCCGTGGATGATGCTCATGATGTCGGGCACCTGTGGGGCAACGGGGGTGGCGCTGAGATGGGGGAAAGGACACGGCGAGAGCTTGAGGGCTGTTGGCTGTGGTGTCCACCCGTGCCGGTGACACTGCAGAATGTGTCACGGTGCTCTGCCAGCATCTGGAGTTCAGCAGTGCCGTGGGGTTGGAACAGGATGATTGTTGAGGTCCTCTCCAGCCCAACCGTCTCAGGGCTCTTTAAGGACATTTCCAACCCCAAAATCCCATGGCTCTATGACCTTTTAGGATCTTTCCAACCCACCCATCCTACTGTCCCATGATTTCCAAGAACCCTTCCCACCTATCCCATGGTTCTATGACCTTCAAGGACCCTTCCAACCCAACCCATGGCTCTGTGACCTTCAAGGACCCTTCCAAACCAACCCATGGCTCTATGACCTTCAAGGACCCTTCCAACCCAACCCATGGCTCTGTGACCTTCAAGGACCCTTCCAACCCAACCCATGGCTCTATGACCTTCAAGGACCCTTCCAACCCAACCCATGGCTCTGTGACCTTCAAGGACCCTTCCAACCCAACCCATGGCTCTTGACCTTCAAGGACCTTTCCAACCCAACCCATGGCTCTATGACCTTCAAGGACCCTTCCAACCCAACCCATGGCTCTATGACCTTCAAGGACCCTTCCAACCCATCCCATGGCTCTATGACCTTCAAGGACCCTTCCAACCCATCCCATGGCTCTATGACCTTCAAGGACCCTTCCAACCCATCCCATGGCTCTATGACCTTCAAGGACCTTTCCAACCCAACCCATGGCTCTATGACCTTCAAGGACCTTTCCAACCCAACCCATGGCTCTATGACCTTCAAGGACCCTTCCAACCCAACCCATGGCTCTATGACCTTCAAGGACCCTTCCAACCCAACCCATGGCTCTATGACCTTCAAGGACCTTTCCAACCCAACCCATGGCTCTATGACCTTCAAGGACCCTTCCAACCCAACCCATGGCTCTGTGACCTTCAAGGACCTTTCCAACCCAACCCATGGCTCTATGACCTTCAAGGACCTTTCCAACCCAACCCATGGCTCTATGACCTTCAAGGACCCTTCCAACCCAACCCATGGCTCTGTGACCTTCAAGGACCCTTCCAACCCAACCCATGGCTCTATGACCTTCAAGGACCTTTCCAACCCAACCCATGGCTCTATGACCTTCAAGGACCCTTCCAACCCAACCCATGGCTCTATGACCTTCAAGGACCCTTCCAACCCAACCCATGGCTCTTGACCTTCAAGGACCTTTCCAACCCAACCCATGGCTCTATGACCTTCAAGGACCTTTCCAACCCAACCCATGGCTCTATGACCATGCCAACCCTACCATTCTCCAGATCTTCAACCCCAGCAACTGGAGCAGAACAGGGGGTGATTCCCCCCGGCCCCGCTGGCTGCATGATGCACGGCAAGGCACGGAGGAAGCGCATGCACAGCCCAGACCTGGCAGCAAATCCCCGAGCTTAGCACGGAGCTGCCGGGATTTAGCGTCAGGTCGGGTTTCAGGATCTGGGCCGGACGGGGTCTGGACGAAAAGGGAGCAATGGGGAGGGGTCACGGGGGGAGCGGGACGTTAGCGGGAGCTGCTGCGCACAGCCTGAGCGGTGCAGGGAGAGCCGGTGTTTCCAATTAGTGCAGGAGAAAAGGGGGAGCTTAGTCCTAAGGCGGTGGATTAGGGCAAAAAAAAATGTTCCTTGTCGGAGTGGGGCGCAGAACGGGATGGGGATGGGGGGGGATGGGGATGGGGATGGGATGGGAGGGGATGGGATTGGGATGGGATTGGGATGGGGATGGGATTGGGAGGGGATTAGGATGGGGTGGGGGAGGGGATGGGATGGGGATGGGATGGGGTGGGGGAGGGGGTAGGATGGGGATGGGGATGGGGATGGGGATGGGGATGGGGATGGGGATGGGGATGGGGATGGGGATGGGGATGGAGATGGGATGGGAGGGGAAGGGATGGGGTAGGGAAGGGGATGGGATGGGGATGGGATGGAGATATGATGGGAGGAGAAGGGATGGTGTGGGGAAGGGGATGGGATGGGAATGGTGTGGGGTGGGGAAGGGGTGGGAATTGGGAGGGGATTGAGATGGGGTGGGGGAGGGGATGGGATGGGGTGGGGATGGGATGGGATGGGATGGGAGGGGATGGGATGGGGTGTGGGAGGGGATGGGATGGGGATGGTGTGGGGTGGGGATGGGGTAGGGATTGGGAGGGGATTGAGATGGGGTGGGGGAGGGGATGGGATGGGGATGGGATGGGAGGCGATGGGATGGGGTGTGGGAGGGGATGGTGTGGGGTGGGGATGGGATGAGGTGGGGATAGGATGGGATGGAGATGGGGTGGGGAAGGGGATGGGATGGGGATGGTGTGGGGTGGGGATGGGGTGGGGATTGGGAGGGGATTGAGTGGGGAAGGGAGTGGGATGGGGATAGGGATGGGGATGGGGATGGAGATGGGGATGGGGATGGGGATGGAGATGGGAGGGGAAGGGATGGGGTGGGGAAGGGGATGGGATGGGGATGGTGTGGGGTGGGGATGGGGTGGGGATTGGGAGGGGATTGAGATGGGGTGGGGGAGGGGATGGGATGGGGATGGGATGGGAGGGGATGGGATGGGGATGGGAGGGGATGGGATGGGGATGGTGTGGGGTGGGGATGGGATGAGGTGGGGATGGGGTGGGGATAGGATGGGATGGGATGGGGTGGGGTGGGGATGGGGTGGGAATTGGGAGGGGATTGAGATGGGGTGGGGAAGGGGGTGGGATGGGGATGAGGATGGGGATGAGGATGGGGATGGGGATGGGGATGGGATGGGGATGGTGTGGGGTGGGGATGGGATGAGGTGGGGATTGGGAGGGGATTGAGATGGGGTGGGGAAGGGAATGGGATGGGGATGAGGTTGGGAGGGGATTGGAATGGGATGGGGAAGGGGATGGGATGGGGATGAGGATGGAGATGGTGATGGCATTGGGATGGGATGGGATTGGGATTGGGAGGGGATTGGGATGGGGTGGGCAAGGGGACGGGATGGGGATGGGATAGAATGGGGATGGGATGAGGTGAGGATTCGGATTGGGAGGGGATTGAGAGGAAGAGGATGAGATGGGGATGGTGTGCAGATGGGGATGGGTTGGAATTGGGATTGGGAGGGGATGGCATGGGGATGGGGATGGGGATGGGATGGGGATGGGATTGGGATGTGGATAGAGGAGGGGATTCGGATGGGGAGGGGATTGGGATTGGGAGAGGGTGGGGATGGGGATGGGGAGGGGATTGGGATGGGGATAGAGGAGGGGATTGGGATTGGGATGAGGTGGGGATTGGGATGAGGTGGGAATGGGGATGGGATGGGGTGGGGATTGGGATGAGGAGGGGAAGGAGATGAGGAGAGGATTAGAATGTGGATAGAGGAGGGGATTCAGATGGGGAGGGGATTGGGATTGGGATGGGGAGGGGATTGGGATGGGGATAGAGGAGGGGATTGGGATGGGGATAAGGTGGGAACTGGGATGAGGTGGGGATGGGAATGGAATGGGATGGGATGGGATGGGATGGGATGGGATGGATGGGATGGGATTGGGATGGGGATAGAGGATGGGATGGGATGGGATGGGATGGGATGGGATGGGATGGGATGGGATGGGATGGGATGGGATGAGAAGGGGATGGAGATGGGATGAGAAGGGGATGGAGATGGGGAGGGGATTGAGATGTGGATAGAGGAGGGGATTGGGATGGGGAGGGGATTGGGATTGGGATAAATTGGGGATTGGGATGGAAAGGAGATGGCGATGGAGTGGGGATTGGGATGTTGATCAAAACGGGGTGGTGATGGGAGGAGCGACAGCTCCAGGGAGTGTGGGGCAGGTGATCATACAGCCAGAGGTTCGGTGGGAATGGTCACATCCTTGCAGTGCCCAAAGGGAGTTGATAAACTGGAAAGCGACTGCGCAAGGGCAGAGAGTGATGCAACGGAGGGGAATGGTTTCAATTAAAAAAAATGGGAGATTTGGGGTCAGACGTGGGGAAATCCTTCATCCAGAGGCGGTGCAGCCCCAGCACTGCTGCCCCAAGCTGTGGGTGCCCCAGCCCTGGAGGTGCCCCAGGCTGGGGGTGGGACCTGGGCAGCCTGAGCTGGGGGGCAGCCAGCCCACGGCAGGGATGGGGCTGGGTGTCCCTTCCAACCCAACCACTCTGTGGTTGTGTGATCTGTAAGGACCCTTCCGACCCAACCGTTCTGTGGTTGTGTGATCTGTAAGGACCCTTCTGACCCAACCATTCTGTGGTTGTGTGATCTGTAAGGACCCTTCTGACCCAACCATTCTGTGGTTGTGTGATCTGTAAGGACCCTTCTGACCCAACCCAACAAAACCATTCTGTGGTTGTGTGATCTGTAAGGACCCTTCCGACCCAACCATTCTGTGGTTGTGTGATCTGTAAGGACCCTTCCAACCCAACTGTTTTGTGGTTGTGTGATCTGTAAGGACCCTTCCAACCCAACCGTTCTGTGGTTGTGTGATCTGTAAGGACCCTTCCAACCCAACCGTCCCATGGCTCTGTGATCTTTAAGGACCCTTCTAACCCAACCACTGTATGGTTCTGTGACCTTTAAGGACCCCTTCCAACCCAATCATCCAACAACTCTACCATCTTCAAGGACTCTTCCAATTCAACCATTCCATGCTTCCATTACCTTTCAGGACCCTCCCAGCACAACCATTCCACGGCTCTATCGTCTTTAAGGACTCTTCCAATACAACCATCCAGCAACTACGATTTTTAAGGACTCTTCCAACCCAAGCATTCCGTGCTTCCACGACCTTCCAAGACCCTTCCAACCCAACCCGTTCTACGGCTCCGTGACCTTTCAGGTCCTTTCTGACCCAAACCACTCGATGAATACCCACCACGCTGCCGAAGCCTATCGCTGCACGGCCCAGCTGCCAGGACCTGGCGCCCGGTGGGAGGCAGAGGGGTCAGGAGCTCACCTTGTCCTGCAGGACGGCCCCCCGCTCCTTGAGCAGAGCGTTGATCATGACGGTGGCCGCACGGGAGCAGTTCTTGTCGGGGTCTGCCAGCCCCTCAAACATGGCGAGCAGGAGGCTCATCAGCTGGTCCGGGGGGACACGCTTCCCAATCACCTGGGAGGAGAGCGAGTGGCGTAACGAGGGGTTGAGGGGTTCATCCCAAATAAACTGGGGGTACCAAGGGTGCCTCTGCTGCAGGCGGCCATCCCTGATCTCAGCCCCACAGCTCTATGGGCAGCCCGCCTGCCTGCACACACACCACTGCATGAGTGGGGCTGGGCAGCTTTAAGGCCCTTTCCAAGCCAACCTTCTTAAGGCTCTGTGATCTTTCAGGACCTTAACAAGCCAACTCAACTCATTCCATGGCTCTGCAATCTATAAGGACCTTCCAACTCAACCCAATCCATCCCGTGGCTTTGTGATCTTTAAGGATTCATCTGGCCCAATGGTTCCATGGTTCTCTAACTTTTAAGGACCTTTCTAAGTCAACTCAATCCATCCCCTGGCTCTGTGATCTTTCAGGACCTTTCCAACCTAACCTAAGCCATTCCATGGCTCTGTTATCTTTAAGGACTCTTCCAACCCAACCATTCCATGGCTCTACAATCTGTAATGCCTTTCTATCTCAACCATTCCATGGCTATATGACCTTTAAGGACCCTTCCTACCCAATCCATTCTACCATTTCCTGGCTCTATAACCATCAAGTACTCTCCTAACCCATCCTAAGCTTGTATGACCTTCAAGGACCCTTCCAACGCATCCCATAGCTCTGTGACCTTTAAGAACCCTTCCAACGCATCCCATAGCTCTGTGACCTTTAAGGACCCTTCCAACGCATCCCATAGCTCTATGACCTTTAAGGACCCTTCCAATGCATCCCATAGCTCTGTGACCTTTAAGGACCCTTCCAACGCATCCCATAGCTCTATGACCTTTAAGGACCCTTCCAATGCATCCCATAGCTCTCTGACCTTTAAGGACCCTTCCAACGCATCCCATAGCTCTATGACCTTTAAGGACCCTTCCAAAGCATCCCATAGCTCTATGACCTTTAAGGACCCTTCCAACGCATCCCATAGCTCTATGACCTTTAAGGACCCTTCCAATGCATCCCATAGCTCTATGACCTTTAAGGACCCTTCCAACGCATCCCATAGCTCTGTGACCTTTAAGGACCCTTCCAATGCATCCCATAGCTCAGTGACCTTTAAGGACCCTTCCAACGCATCCCATAGCTCTGTGACCTTTAAGGACCCTTCCAACCCAACCCAGCCCATCCATGGCTCTTGGATCTTTCTTTGTACAACCTTCTAGGGACTGGCAGCATGGCTATGGGGCGGGATGCTCGGAGCAACCCCCCCCTGCCTGCCTTACCATGGCAATGTTGGTGCAGGTGTGGAACAGGACAGTGAAGTCAGGCTCCTCCAGACCCCTCTTCAGGGCCTTCAGTCCCTCCACCATCTCATCGCGGTGGTCCCGAGCGAACCCTGCAGGCAGAGCCGAGCTTGGGTTGGATCAAACACCCGAATACTGCAGTGATGTGGGTCCAGACACGGCAGCGATGTGGGTCAGAATGGAGCGGACCCAAAGGATCACAACACTGCAGCGATGTGGGACAGAATGGAGTGAATCCAAAGGACCACAGCACTGCAGCGATGTGGGTCAGAACGGAGTGAATCCAAAGGACCACAACACTGCAGCGATGTGGGTCAGAATGGAGTGAATCCAAAGGACCACAACACTGCAGTGATGTGGGTCAGAATGGAGTGAATCCAAAGGACAACACTGCAGTGATGTGGGTCAGAATGGAGTGAATCCAAAGAACCACAACACTGCAGTGATGTGGGTCAGAATGGAGTGAATCCAAAGGACCACAACACTGCAGTGATGTGGGTCAGAATGGAGTGAATCCAAAGAACCACAACACTGCAGCGATGTGGGTCAGAGTGGAGTGAATCCAAAGGACCACAACACTGCAGCGATGTGGGTCAGAATGGAGTGAATCCAAAGGACCACAACACTGCAGTGATGTGGGTCAGAATGGAGTGAATCCAAAGGACCACAACACTGCAGCGATGTGGGTCAGAATGGAGTGAATCCAAAGGACAACACTGCAGTGATGTGGGTCAGAATGGAGTGAATCCAAAGGACAACACTGCAGTGATGTGGGTCAGAATGGAGTGAATCCAAAGAACCACAACACTGCAGCGATGTGGGTCAGAGTGGAGTGAATCCAAAGGACCACAACACTGCAGCGATGTGGGTCAGAATGGAGTGAATCCAAAGGACCACAACACTGCAGTGATGTGGGTCAGAATGGAGTGAATCCAAAGGACCACAACACTGCAGTGATGTGGGTCAGAATGGAGTGAATCCAAAGGACCACAGCACTACAGCGATGTGGGTCAGAATGGAGTGAATCCAAAGGACCACAACACTGCAGCGATGTGGGTCAGAATGCAGCTGCCCCAAAGGACCACAGCACAGCAGCGATGTGGGTCAGAACATCGCAGCGATGTGGGTCAGAATGGAGTGAATCCAAAGGACCACAGCACTGCAGCGATGTGGGTCAGAATGGAGTGAATCCAAAGGACCACAACACTGCAGCGATGTGGGTCAGAATGGAGTGAATCCAAAGGACCACAACACTGCAGTGATGTGGGTCAGAATGGAGTGAATCCAAAGGACCACAGCACTGCAGCGATGTGGGTCAGAATGGAGTGAATTCAAAGGACCACAACACTGCAGCGATGTGGGTCAGAACACCGCAGCGATGTGGGTCAGAATGGAGTGAATCCAAAGGACCACAACACTGCAGCGATGTGGGTCAGAACACCGCAGCGATGTGGGTCAGAGTGCAACAGCCCCAAAGGACCACAGCACAGCAGCGATGTGGGTCAGAACACCGCAGCGATGTGGGTCAGAATGGAGCGGACCCAAAGGACCACAGCACAGCAGCGATGTGGGTCAGAATGGAGCTGCCCCAAAGAACCACAACATTGCAGTGATGTGGGTCAGAACGGAGTGAATCCAAAGGGCAACGCAGCAGCGATGTGGGTCAGAGTGGAGTGAATCCAAAGGACCACAACACTGCAGTGATGTGGGTCAGAATGGAGTGAATCCAAAGGACAACACTGCAGTGATGTGGGTCAGAATGGAGTGAATCCAAAGGACCACAGCACTGCAGCGATGTGGGTCAGAATGGAGTGAATCCAAAGGACAACGCTGCAGCAATGTGGGTCAGAATGGAGCTGCCCCAAAGGACCACAACACTGAAGTGATGTGGGTCAGAATGGGGTGAATACAAAGGACCACAACACTGCAGTGATGTGGGTCAGAATGGAGTGAATCCAAAGGACAACGCTGCAGCAATGTGGGTCAGAATGGAGCAGACCCAAAGGACCACAACACTGCAGTGATGTGGGTCCAAACATCATAGAGATGTGGGTTGGAGTGCCACTGTCCCAAACACTGCAGCGATGTGGGTCAGAATGGAGCTGCCCCAAAGAACCACAACACTGCAGCAAATTGGGTTAGAATGGAGTGAATCCAAAGGACCACAACACTGCAATGATGTGGGTCAGAACTGAGTGAATCCAAAGGACCACAACACTGCAGCGATGTGGGTCAGAGTGCAGCAGCCCCAAAGGACCACAGCAGAGCAGCGATGTGGGTCAGAACACCGCAGCGATGTGGGTCAGAATGGAGCTGCCCCAAAGGATCACAACACTGCAGCGATGTGGGTCAGAATGGAGTGAATCCAAAGGACCACAACACTGCAGTGATGTGGGTCAGAACGGAGTGAATCCAAAGGACCACAACACCGCAGCGATGTGGGTCAGAATGCAGCAGCCCCAAAGGACCACAACACTGCAGCGATGTGGATCAGAATGGAGCGGACCCAAAGGACCACAGCACAGCAGCGATGTGGGTCAGAACGGAGTGAATCCAAAGGACCACAACACTGCAGCGATGTGGGTCAGAATGCAGCTGCCCCAAAGGACCACAGCACAGCAGCGATGTGGGTCAGAACACCGCAGCGATGTGGGTCAGAGTGCAGCTGCCCCAAAGGATCACAGCACAGCAGCGATGTGGGTCAGAACACCGCAGCAATGTGGGTCAGAGTGCAGCAGCCCCAAAGGACCACAGCACAGCAGCGATGTGGGTCAGAACACCGCAGCGATGTGGGTCAGAATGGAGTGGACCCAAAGGACCACAGCACAGCAGCGATGTGGGTCAGACCCGCAGCTCCGCTCCCGGGAACAGCAGCGAAGCAGAGCTGCGTTCCGCATCGCCTCCGAGCGCTCATCCCCTGTGCTGCCCTGACCTCTCCTGGTGACGCGGGGGAAAGGCAGACCGAGGGAGCCCTGGAACTGCTCGGCGATATTCCAGCCCTCGGCATCTCGGCCCCAGTGACGGCATCGCCCCACTGGCCCCACTCCTGGCCCCATGAAGGCCATGGTGGCTGTCGGGATGTCTCCGCTCATCCCCCAGCCTCCGTGCTGGTGAGCGTGGAGGATAGCAGAGGTCTCTTCCAATCTTAATGATTGCATGGTTGTGTTTGGGTCATGGTGGGGGGTGGGAAGGGGTTGGAGTTGGAGATCTTGGAGTTAGGGATCTCCTCCAAGCCTAATTCAGGGTCGTGGTGCGGATGGACTGGATGACCTTGGAGGTCTCTTCTGACCTTAATGACTCTACGGTTCAATTTGGGGTCATGGTGGGGGGAGGTTGGGGTTGGACTGGATGACCTTGAAGGTCTCTCCCAACCTTAATGACTCTACAGTTCAATTTGGGGTCATGGTGGGGTAGGTTACGGTTGGACTGGGGGATCCTAGAAGGCTCTTCCAACCTTAATGACTCTACGGTTCAATTTGGGGTCATGGTGGGGGTAGGTTGGGGTTGGAGTGTCAAAACTTGAGGTCTCCTCCAACCCTAATGATTCTAATTAAGGTCATGGTCAGGGAGGGTTGGGGTTGGACTGGATGACCCTGAAGGTCTCTTCTGACCTTAATGACTCCATGGTTCTATTTAGGGTCATGGTGGGGTAGGTTAGGGTTGGACTGGGGGATCCTAGAAGGCTCATCCAACCTTAATGACACTACGGTTCAATTTGGGGTCATGATGGGGCAGGTTGGGGTTGGACTGGGGGATCCTAGAAGGCTCTTCCAACCTTAATGACTCTACAGTTCAATTTAGGGTCATGGTGGGGGTAGGTTGTGGTTGGAGTGTCAAGCCTTGAAGTCTCCTCCAACCCTAATGATTCTAATTAAGGTCATGGTCAGGGAAGGTTGGGGTTGGACTGGATGACCTTGAAGGTCTCTTCTGACCTTAATGACTCTATGGTTCTATTTAGGGTCATGGTGGGGTAGGTTGGGGTTGGACTGGATGACCTTGAAGGTCTCTTCTGACCTTAATGACTCTATGGGCCTATTTAGGGTCATGGTGGGGTAGGTTAGGGTTGGACTGGGGGATCCTAGAAGGCTCATCCAACCTTAATGACACTACGGTTCAATTTGGGGTCATGGTGGGGTGGGTTGGGGTTGGACTGGGGGATCCTAGAAGGCTCTTATAACCTTGATGACTCTGTGGTTCTAATGGGGTCATGGTGGGGGTAGGTTGGGGTTGGAGTGTCAGACCTTGAGGTCTCCTCCAACCCTAATGATTCTAATTAAGGTCATGGTCAGGGAAGGTTGGGGTTGGACTGGATGACCTTGAAGGTCTCTCCCGACCTTAATGACTCTACGGTTCAATTTGGGGTCATGGTGGGGGTAGGTTAGGGTTGGACTGGGGGATCCTAGAAGGCTCTTCCAACCTCGATGACTCTATGGTTCTATTGGGGTCATGGTGGGGGTAGGTGGGGTTGGAGTGTCAAAACTTGAAGTCTCCTCCAACCCTAATGATTCTAATTAAGGTCATGGTCAGGGAGGGTTGGGGTTGGACTGGATGACCTTGAAGGTCTCTTCTGATCTTAATGACTCTATGGGCCTATTTAGGGTCATGGTGGGGCAGGTTGGGGTTGGACTGGATGACCTTGGAGGTCTCTCCCAACCTTAATGACTCTACAGTTCAATTTGGGGTCATGGTGGGGGTAGGTTGGGGTTGGAGTGTCAGACCTTGAGGTCTCCTCCAACCCTAATGATTCTAATTAAGGTCATGGTCAGGAAAGGTTGGGGTTGGACTGGATGACCTTGAAGGTCTCTTCTGATCTTAATGACTCTATGGGCCTATTTAGGGTCATGGTGGGTTAGGTTGGGGTTGGACTGGGGGAACCTAGAAGGCTCATCCAACCTTAATGACACTACGGTTCAATTTGGGGTCATGATGGGGCAGGTTGGGGTTGGTCTGGATGACCCTAAAGGTCTCTTCTGACCCTAATGACTCTACGAGCCTATTTAGGGTCATGGTGGGGCAGGCTGGGGTTGGACTCTGGAATCTCAGTGGTCTCCCCCAACCCTAACGATCCCATATGTGGGTTCTTTTTCTGCTGCCCCATAACCAGGGGAAGGGGTCTGACCCCCCCCCAGCCCACCCCACGCCCCGGGCCCACCCCCCAGCGCCCACCTTCGTAGCACAGCTGGATGTAGAGCAGGCTGTAGACGCAGTCGACGGCGCGCTGCCGGACGCTGCCCACCGAGTCGGAGCAGCGCGGGGAGAAGAGCGCGATGAGCACGCCGAGGTTGTAGAATGGGACAACGGTCTGTGGGGACAGCATGGCTGCGTCGGGGCTGGGATGGCACTGGGAGGGCACCAAGATGGCGCCAGGACAGCACCGGGATGGCACTGGGGTGGCATCAGGGATGGCATCAGGATGGCATCAGGATGGCATTGGGATGGTGCCAGGATCGCACCAAGATGGCGCCAGGACAGCACCGGGATGACATTGGGGTGGCATCAGGGATGGCACTGGGAGGGCACCAAGATGGTGCCAGGACAGCACCGGGATGGCACTGGGGTGGCATTGAGATGGCACTGGGATGGCACTGGGATGGCACCAAGATGGCGCCAGGACAGCACTGGGATGACATTGGGGTGGCATCGAGATGGCACTGGGATGGCACTGGGATGGCACTGGGATGGTACTGGGATGGCACTGGGATGGCACTGGGATGGCACCAGGATGGTACTGTGATGGCACTGGGATGGCACTGGGATGGCACCAAGATGGTGCCAGGACAGCACAGGGATGACATTGGGGTGGCATCGAGATGGCACTGGGATGGTACTGGGATGGCACTGGGATGGCACTGGGATAGCACTGGGATGGTACTGGGATGGCACTGGGATGGCACTGGGATGGCACCAGGATGGTACTGTGATGGCACTGGGATGGCACTGGGATGGCACCAAGATGGCGCCAGGACAGCACCGGGATGACATTGGGGTGGCATCGAGATGGCACTGGGATGGCACTGGGATGGTACTGGGACGGCACTGGGATGGTACTGGGATGGCACTGGGATGGCACTGGGATGGCATTGGGATGGCATTGGGATGGCACTGTGATGGCACTGGGATGGCATTGGGATGGTACTGGGACGGCACTGGGATGGCACTGGGACGGCACTGGGATGGCAATGGGATGGCACTGGGATGGTACTGGGATGGCACTGGGATGGCACTGGGATGGCACTGGGACGGCACTGGGATGGTACTGGGACGGCACTGGGATGGCACTGGGATGGCACTGGGATGGTACTGGGATGGCACTGGGATGGCACTGGGATGGCACCAAGATGGTGCCAGGACAGCACAGGGATGACATTGGGGTGGCATCGAGATGGCACTGGGATGGCACTGGGATGGCACTGGGATGGCACTGGGATGGCACCAGGACAGCACAGGGATGACACTGGGGTGGCATCGAGATGGCACTGGGATGGTACTGGGATGGCACCAAGATGGTGCCAGGACAGCACCAGGATGGCACTGGGGTGGCATCAGGGATGGCATTGGGATGGCATTGGGATGGTGCCAGGATGGCATTGGGATGGTACTGGGATGGCGCCAAGATGGCGCCAGGGCAGCAACGGGATGGCACTGGGGTGGCATTGGGATGGCATCTGGATGGCATTGGGATGGTGCCAGGATCGCACCAAGATGGCACTGGGGTGGCATCAGGGATGGCATTGGGATGGTGCCAGGATGGCACTGGGATGGCACTGGAATGGTACTGGAATGGCACCAAGATGGCGCCAGGATGGCACTGGGATGGCATCAGGGATGGCATTGGGATGGCACTGGAATGGTACTGGGATGGTACTGGGATGGTACTGGGATGGCACCAAGATGGCGCCAGGACAACACTGGGATGGCACTGGGGTGGCATCAGGGATGGCATCAGGGATGGCATCAGGATGGCACTGGGATGGTACTGAGATGGCACCAAGATGGCGCCAGGACAGCACCGGGATGGCACTGGGGTGGCATTGGGATGGCATCGGGATGGCACTGGGATGGCATGGGGATGGTGCCAGGATGGCACTGGGATGGCACTGGGATGGTACTGGGATGGCACTGGGAGGGCACCAAGATAGCTCCAGGACAGCACCAGGATGGCATCAGGGATGGCATTGGGATGGTGCCAGGATGGCATTGGGATGGTACTGGGATGGTACTGGGATGGTACTGGGATGGTACTGGGATGGTACTGGGATGGCACCAAGATGGCTCCAGGATGGCACTGGGGTGGCATCAGGGATGGCATTGGGATGGCATGGGGATGGTGCCAGGATGGCATTAGGATGGTGCCAGGATGGCACCGGGATGGCATTGGGATGGCATTTGGATGGCATTGGGATGGCATTAAGATGGCACTGGGATGGCACTGGGATGGCATTAAGATGGCATTGGGATGGCATTGGGATGGCACTGGGATGGCATTAAGATGGCACTGGGATGGCACTGGGATGGCATTGGGATGGCATTAAGATGGCACTGGGATGGCATTGGGATGGCATTAAGATGGCACTGAGATGGCATTGGGATGGCATTGGGATGGCACTGGGATGGCATTAAGATGGCACTGGGATGGCACTGGGATGGCACTGGGATGGCACTGGGATACACAGGGGCAGCACTGGGACGGCACTGGGATGGTACCAGGACGGCACTGGGACACACACAGACAGCACTGGGACGGCACTGGGATGACAGGAGGACACACAGGCGGTCCCACTGACGCAGACTTACGCTGACGTTGAGCCTGCCCAGGTAGAAGTCCAGCAGCGCGGCGCTGAGCTCCACGGCACGCTGCCGCTCGTGCTGCTTGCTGGATTTGATCCACGGGCCCAAGTGCTGCAGTATGGGGGGGAGGAAAGGGGGGAATAACGTCATCAGAGGGTGGTGGGGTCCTCGGGTGACACAGGAAGGGGACAGTGGGTGAGGTGGAACCGGCACGTACCGCAAACATGTCCTGCAGGCCATGTGGGGTCAGGCTGCGCTGCAGGAGGGTCTTGAGCAGCTCCTGGAGGGCACCGAGGGTGTCTGCAAACAGCTCCTGCGGGGTGGTTTTGGGATGTGAGATGCACCCCAGAAACAGGGGGTGGGGGGGTAACCCCAGGAGTGAGGGGTAGAGGGGGAAAGCCCAGGAAGAGGGGGTGGAGGGAACATCCTCAGGAGTGAGAGATGGAGGGGGCGCATCCAGGAGTGGGGAGAGGGTGGAGGTGGGTGCCTCCAGGAGTAGGGATGGAAGGGGTACCCCTAGGAATAGGTGATGGAGCGAGAAGAAGAGGGAGGAGCCCCAGGATTGGGAGATGGAAGGGAATCCCAAGGAACAGGGCATGGAGGGAACAGCCCCAGGAGTGGGAGATGGAAGGGAAGCCCAAAGAACAGGGCATGGAGGGAACAGCCCCAGGAGTGGGAGATGGAAGGGAACCCCAAAGAACAGGGCATGGAGGGAACAGCCCCAGGAGTGGGAGATGGAAGGGAAGCCCAAGCACAGGGCATGGAGGGAACAGCCCCAGGAGTGGGAGATGGAAGGGAACCCCAAAGAACAGGGCATGGAGGGAACAGCCCCAGGAGTGGGAGATGGAAGGGAACCCCAAAGAACGGCATGGAGGGAACAGCCCCAGGAGTGGGAGATGGAAGGGAACCCAAAGAACAGGGCATGGAGGGAACAGCCCCAGGAGTGGGAGATGGAAGGGGACCCCAAAGAACGGCATGGAGGGAACAGCCCCAGGAGTGGGAGATGGACAGGGAACTCCAAAGAACAGGGCATGGAGGGAACAGCCCCAGGAGTGGGAGATGGAAGGGAAGCCCAAAGAACAGGGCATGGAGGGAACAGCCCCAGGAGTGGGAGATGGAAGGGAAGCCCAAGAACAGGGCATGGAGGGAACAGCCCCAGGAGTGGGAGATGGAAGGGAACCCCAAAGAACGGCATGGAGGGAACAGCCCCAAGAGTGGGAGATGGACAGGGAACTCCAAAGAACAGGGCATGGAGGGAACAGCCCCAGGAGTGGGAGATGGAAGGGAAGCCCAAAGAACAGGGCATGGAGGGAACAGCCCCAGGAGTGGGAGATGGAAGGGAAGCCCAAGGAACAGGGCATGGAGGGAACAGGCCCAGGAGTGGGAGATGGAAGGGAACCCCAAGGAACAGGGCATGGAGGGAACAGCCCCAGGAGTGGGAGATGGAAGGGAAGCCCAAAGAACAGGGCATGGAGGGAACAGCCCCAGGAGTGGGAGATGGAAGGGAACCCCATGGAACAGGGCATGGAGGGAACAGCCCCAGGAGTGGGAGATGGAAGGGAAGCCCAAAGAACAGGGCATGGAGGGAACAGCCCCAGGAGTGGGAGATGGAAGGGAAGCCCAAAGAACAGGGCATGGAGGGAACAGCCCCAGGAGTGGGAGATGGAAGGGAAGCCCAAAGAACAGGGCATGGAGGGAACAGCCCCAGGAGTGGGAGATGGAAGGGAAGCCCAAGGAACAGGGCATGGAGGGAACAGCCCCAGGAGTGGGAGATGGAAGGGAACCCAAAGAACGGCATGGAGGGAACAGCCCCAGGAGTGGGAGATGGAAGGGAAGCCCAAAGAACAGGGCATGGAGGGAACAGCCCCAGGAGTGGGAGATGGAAGGGAACCCCAAAGAACAGGGCATGGAGGGAACAGCCCCAGGAGTGGGAGATGGAAGGGAACCCCAAAGAACGGCATGGAGGGAACAGCCCCAGGAGTGGGAGATGGAAGGGAACCCCAAGGAACAGGGCATGGAGGGAACAGCCCCAGGAGTGGGAGATGGAAGGGAATCCCAAAGAACAGGGCATGGAGGGAACAGCCCCAGGAGTGGGAGATGGAAGGGAACCCCAAAGAACGGCATGGAGGGAACAGCCCCAGGAGTGGGAGATGGAAGGGAACCCCAAGAACAGGGCATGGAGGGAACAGCCCCAGGAGTGGGAGATGGAAGGGAACCCCAAAGAACAGGGCATGGAGGGAACAGCCCCAGGAGTGGGAGATGGAAGGGAACCCAAAGAACAGGGCATGGAGGGAACAGCCCCAGGAGTGGGAGATGGAAGGGAATCCAAAGAACAGGGCATGGAGGGAACAGCCCCAGGAGTGGGAGATGGAAGGGAAGCCCAAAGAACAGGGCATGGAGGGAACAGCCCCAGGAGTGGGAGACGGACAGGGAATCCCAAAGAACAGGGCATGGAGGGAACAGCCCCAGGAGTGGGAGATGGAAGGGAACCCAAAGAACAGGGCATGGAGGGAACAGCCCCAGGAGTGGGAGATGGAAGGGAATCCAAAGAACAGGGCACGGAGGGAACAGCCCCAGGAGTGGGAGATGGAAGGGAACCCCAAGAACAGGGCATGGAGGGAACAGCCCCAGGAGTGGGAGATGGAAGGGAAGCCCAAAGAACAGGGCATGGAGGGAACAGCCCCAGGAGTGGGAGATGGAAGGGAAGCCCAAAGAACAGGGCATGGAGGGAACAGCCCCAGGAGTGGGAGATGGAAGGGAAGCCCAAAGAACAGGGCATGGAGGGAACAGCCCCAGGAGTGGGAGATGGAAGGGAAGCCCAAAGAACAGGGCATGGAGGGAACAGCCCCAGGAGTGGGAGATGGAAGGGAACCCCAAAGAACAGGGCATGGAGGGAACAGCCCCAGGAGTGGGAGATGGAAGGGAACCCCAAAGAACGGCATGGAGGGAACAGCCCCAGGAGTGGGAGATGGAAGGGAAGCCCAAAGAACGGCATGGAGGGAACAGCCCCAGGAGTGGGAGATGGAAGGGAAGCCCAAAGAACAGGGCATGGAGGGAACAGCCCCAGGAGTGGGAGATGGAAGGGAAGCCCAAGGAACAGGGCATGGAGGGAACAGCCCCAGGAGTGGGAGATGGAAGGGAATCCAAGGAACAGGGCATGGAGGGAACAGCCCCAGGAGTGGGAGATGGAAGGGAAGCCCAAGGAACAGGGCATGGAGGGAACAGCCCCAGGAGTGGGAGATGGAAGGGAACCCCAAAGAACAGGGCATGGAGGGAACAGCCCCAGGAGTGGGAGATGGAAGGGAAGCCCAAAGAACAGGGCATGGAGGGAACAGCCCCAGGAGTGGGAGATGGAAGGGAACCCAAAGAACAGGGCATGGAGGGAACAGCCCCAGGAGTGGGAGATGGAAGGGAACCCCAAAGAACAGGGCATGGAGGGAACAGCCCCAGGAGTGGGAGATGGAAGGGAACCCCTAAGAACAGGGCATGGAGGGAACAGCCCCAGGAGTGGGAGATGGAAGGGAACCCCATGGAACAGGGCATGGAGGGAACAGCCCCAGGAGTGGGAGATGGAAGGGAATCCAAGGAACAGGGCATGGAGGGAACAGCCCCAGGAGTGGGAGATGGAAGGGAAGCCCAAAGAACAGGGCATGGAGGGAACAGCCCCAGGAGTGGGAGATGGAAGGGAAGCCCAAGGAACAGGGCATGGAGGGAACAGCCCCAGGAGTGGGAGATGGAAGGGAAGCCCAAGGAACAGGGCATGGAGGGAACAGCCCCAGGAGTGGGAGATGGAAGGGAACCCCAAAGAACGGCATGGAGGGAACAGCCCCAGGAGTGGGAGATGGAAGGGAAGCCCAAAGAACAGGGCATGGAGGGAACAGCCCCAGGAGTGGGAGATGGAAGGGAACTCCAAAGAACAGGGCATGGAGGGAACAGCCCCAGGAGTGGGAGATGGAAGGGAAGCCCAAGGAACAGGGCATGGAGGGAACAGCCCCAGGAGTGGGAGATGGAAGGGAACCCAAAGAACAGGGCATGGAGGGAACAGCCCCAGGAGTGGGAGATGGAAGGGAACCCCAAAGAACAGGGCATGGAGGGAACAGCCCCAGGAGTGGGAGATGGAAGGGAAGCCCAAAGAACGGCATGGAGGGAACAGCCCCAGGAGTGGGAGATGGACAGGGAACCCCAAGGAACAGGGCATGGAGGGAACAGCCCCAGGAGTGGGAGATGGAAGGGAACCCCAAGGAACAGGGCATGGAGGGAACAGCCCCAGGAGTGGGAGATGGAAGGGAACCCCAAGGAACAGGGCATGGAGGGAACAGCCCCAGGAGTGGGAGATGGAAGGGAAGCCCAAGGAACAGGGCATGGAGGGAACAGCCCCAGGAGTGGAAGATGGAAGGGAACCCCAAGGAACAGGGCATGGAGGGAACAGCCCCAGGAGTGGGAGATGGAAGGGAATCCCAAGGAACAGGGCATGGAGGGAACAGCCCCAGGAGTGGGAGATGGAAGGGAACCCCAAAGAACAGGGCATGGAGGGAACAGCCCCAGGATTGGGAGATGGAAGGGAACCCCAAAGAACAGGGCATGGAGGGAACAGCCCCAGGATTGGGAGATGGAAGGGAACCCCAAAGAACAGGGCATGGAGGGAACAGCCCCAGGAGTGGGAGATGGAAGGGAATCCAAGGAACAGGGCATGGAGGGAACAGCCCCAGGAGTGGGAGATGGAAGGGAATCCAAGGAACAGGGCATGGAGGGAACAGCCCCAGGAGTGGGAGATGGAAGGGAATCCCAAAGAACAGGGCATGGAGGGAACAGCCCCAGGAGTGGGAGATGGAAGGGAACCCCAAGGAACAGGGCATGGAGGGAACAGCCCCAGGAGTGGGAGATGGAAGGGAACCCCAAGGAACAGGGCATGGAGGGAACAGCCCCAGGAGTGGGAGATGGAAGGGAACCCAAAGAACAGGGCATGGAGGGAACAGCCCCAGGAGTGGGAGATGGAAGGGAACCCCAAGGAACAGGGCATGGAGGGAACAGCCCCAGGAGTGGGAGATGGAAGGGAACCCCAAGGAACAGGGCATGGAGGGAACAGCCCCAGGAGTGGGAGATGGAAGGGAATCCCAAGGAACAGGGCATGGAGGGAACAGCCCCAGGAGTGGGAGATGGAAGGGAATACAAGGAACTGGGCATGGAGGGAACAGCCCCAGGAGTGGGAGATGGAAGGGAAGCCCAAGGAACAGGGCATGGAGGGAACAGCACCAGGAGTGGGAGATGGAAGGGAACCCCAAGGAACAGGGCATGGAGGGAACAGCCCCAGGAGTGGGAGATGGAAGGGAACCCAAAGAACAGGGCATGGAGGGAACAGCCCCAGGAGTGGGAGATGGAAGGGAAGCCCAAAGAACGGCATGGAGGGAACAGCCCCAGGAGTGGGAGATGGAAGGGAACCCCAAGGAACAGGGCATGGAGGGAACAGCCCCAGGAGTGGGAGATGGAAGGGAAGCCCAAGGAACAGGGCATGGAGGGAACAGCCCCAGGAGTGGGAGATGGAAGGGAACCCAAAGAACAGGGCATGGAGGGAACAGCCCCAGGAGTGGGAGATGGAAGGGAATCCCAAGGAACAGGGCATGGAGGGAACAGCCCCAGGAGTGGGAGATGGAAGGGAACCCAAAGAACAGGGCATGGAGGGAACAGCCCCAGGAGTGGGAGATGGAAGGGAACCCCAAGGAACGGCATGGAGGGAACAGCCCCAGGAGTGGGAGATGGAAGGGAAGCCCAAGGAACAGGGCATGGAGGGAACAGCCCCAGGAGTGGGAGATGGAAGGGAAGCCCAAAGAACAGGGCATGGAGGGAACAGCCCCAGGAGTGGGAGATGGAAGGGAACCCAAAGAACAGGGCATGGAGGGAACAGCCCCAGGAGTGGGAGATGGAAGGGAAGCCCAAAGAACAGGGCATGGAGGGAACAGCCCCAGGAGTGGGAGATGGAAGGGAAGCCCAAAGAACAGGGCATGGAGGGAACAGCCCCAGGAGTGGGAGATGGAAGGGAATCCCAAGGAACAGGGCATGGAGGGAACAGCCCCAGGAGTGGGAGATGGAAGGGAACCCAAAGAACAGGGCATGGAGGGAACAGCCCCAGGAGTGGGAGATGGAAGGGAACCCCAAGGAACGGCATGGAGGGAACAGCCCCAGGAGTGGGAGATGGAAGGGAAGCCCAAGGAACAGGGCATGGAGGGAACAGCCCCAGGAGTGGGAGATGGAAGGGAACCCCAAAGAACAGGGCATGGAGGGAACAGCCCCAGGAGTGGGAGATGGAAGGGAAGCCCAAAGAACAGGGCATGGAGGGAACAGCCCCAGGAGTGGGAGATGGAAGGGAAGCCCAAGGAACAGGGCATGGAGGGAACAGCCCCAGGAGTGGGAGATGGAAGGGAACCCCAGGGAACAGGGCATGGAGGGAACAGCCCCAGGAGTGGGAGATGGAAGGGAACCCCAAGGAACAGGGCATGGAGGGAACTCCAGGGCACTCCCATGAGCGGGGGATGGACGGGGGAGTTGGGGATGGAGTTGAGACAGCTAGGAATGGGGGACAGAAGGGACACCCCCTGGGGTGGGGGACAGAGGAGAAACCCCCAGGGCTGGGAGATGACAGGGGACCCCCAGGAGTGGGAGATAGAAGGGGTGCCCTGAGGAATAGGGACGGAGAGCCTCCCAACCTCGCTGTAGGGCGCATCGCCGCCGTCCCCATCGCGGTCCCACAGTGGGTCCAGTGGGGGCAGCGCCAGGACGCCGGCCAGGCACGCGTCCATCAGCTCCGTGCGGTCGGGGTCGCTGAGCTGGGGCTCCAGGAGGCTGAGGTGGGGGTTCAGGAGGGCGGTAGGAGGGATGGAACAAAATTCTGCTGGCCCTGTCACACGCTCACGGGGTCAGCGGGGTTGGAAGAGACCTCCAGGACTCTCCAGTCCAACACCAATCCATTCCCACCATGCTCACCCATAAGGGACCTTTAAGGACCTTTCTAGGCCAATCCCACCTCCGTTGACCCTTAAGGACCCTCCCAACACAACCATCCCGTGGCTTTATGATCTTTCAGGACCCTTCTGACCCAATCCCTTCTGAGATGACCTTTAAAGATCATCCCAACCCCACAACCATCCAGCAGCTCTGGGATCCTTACAGAATCACAGGGTTGGAAGGGACCTCAAGGACCACGAATCTCCGAAGACAGGCAGGGCCTGAGATCTTTAAGGACCCTTCCAACCCAACCCAACCATGCCACGTGCCTGTGATCTTTAAGGACCCTTCCAATCCAACAATCCCACGGCCCTATCATTTGTCAGGACTCTCCCAAGCCAATCATTACATGGCTACCATTCAGAACCCTTCCAACACAAACATCCCACAGCTCTATGAACTTTAAGGACCTTCCCATCCCAACTCCTTCTATGACGACCTTTCAGGACCCTTCCAACCCAACCATCTCATGTTTCTATCATCCTTAAGAGCCCTTCCAATCAAACCCTACCCTGCCCAACCATCCCATGCCTCTATGACCTTCCAGGACCCTCTGAACCCAATCCAACCCAACCATCCCATGCCTCTATGACCTTCCAGGACCCTCTGAACCCAATCCAACCCAACCATCCCATGCCTCTAAGACCTTCCAGGACCCTCTGAACCCAGTCCAACCCAACCATCCCATGCCTCTATGACCTTCCAGGACCCTCTGAACCCAGTCCAACCCAACCATCCCATGCCTCTATGACCTTCCAGGACCCTCTAAACCCAATCCAACCCAACCATCCCATGCCTCTAAGACCTTCCAGGACCCTCTGAACCCAGTCCAACCCAACCATCCCATGCCTCTAAGACCTTCCAGGACCCTCTGAACCCAATCCAACCCAACCATCCCATGCCTCTATGACCTTCCAGGACCCTCTGAACCCAGTCCAACCCAACCATCCCATGCCTCTATGACCTTCCAGGACCCTCTAAACCCAATCCAACCCAACCATCCCATGCCTCTAAGACCTTCCAGGACCCTCTGAACCCAGTCCAACCCAACCATCCCATGCCTCTAAGACCTTCCAGGACCCTCTGAACCCAATCCAACCCAACCATCCCATGCCTCTAAGGCCTGCCAGGACCCTCTGAACCCAGTCCAACCCAACCATCCCATGCCTCTATGACCTTCCAGGACCCTCTAAACCCAATCCAACCCAACCATCCCATGCCTCTAAGACCTTCCAGGACCCTCTGAACCCAATCCAACCCAACCATCCCATGCCTCTACGACCTTCCAGGACCCTCTAAACCCAGTCCAACCCAACCATCCCATGCCTCTAAGGCCTGCCAGGACCCTTCTAACCCAATCCAACCCAACCATCCCATGCCTCTAAGACCTTCCAGGACCCTCTGAACCCAGCCCAACCCAGCCATCCCATGCCTCTAAGACCTTCCAGGACCCTCTGAACCCAATCCAATCCAACCATCCCATGCCTCTATGACCTTCCAGGACCCTCTGAACCCGGCCCAACCCAGCCATCCCATGCCTCTAAGACCTTCCAGGACCCTCTGAACCCAATCCAACCCAACCATCCCATGCTTCTATGACCTTCCAGGACCTTCTAACCTATTCCAATCCAACCATCCCATGCCTCTATGACCTTCCAGGACCCTTCTAACCTATTCCAACCCAACCATCCCATGCCTCAATGACCTTCCAGGACCTTTCCAACCCACGTATCCCTCGGCTCTACAGAGGATACACCAGGTGAGTGCAGGTGACCATCGCCCACTGCCGCACCAGCGTCCGCATCGAGTCCAGCGGTTCTGCTTTGATGAACTCCTGCAACACAGACCCAGGGGATGGGGATGGGGATGGGGATGGGGAAGGGGATGGGGATGGGGATGGGATGGGCATGGGGATGGGGATTGGATGGGGATGGGGATGGGATGGAGATGGAGATGGGGATGGAGATGGGGATGGGGATGGAGATGGGGATGGAGATGGGGATGGGGATGGAGATGGGGATGGGGATGGGGACGGGGACGGGGACGGGGATGGGGACAGGGATGGGGACGGGGACGGGGATGGGGATGGGGATGGGGACGGGGATGGGGATGGGGATGGGGACGGGGATGGGGACGGGGATGGGGATGGGGATGGGGAAGGGGATGGGGATGGGGATGGGGAAGGGGATGGGGACGGGAATGGGGATGGGGATGGGGACGGGGATGGGGACGGGGATGGGGACGTGGATGGGGATGGGGATGGGGACGGGGATGGGGATGGGGATGGGGACGGGGATGGGGACGGGGACGGGGATGGGAATGGGGATGGGGACGGGGATGGGGACGGGGACGGGGATGGGGATGGGGACGGGGACGGGGATGGGGACGGGGATGGGGACGGGGACGGGGATGGGGAAGGGGATGGAGATGGGGATGGGGAAGGGGATGGGGACGGGAATGGGGATGGGGACGGGGATGGGGACGGGGATGGGGACGTGGATGGGGATGGGGACGGGGACGGGGATGGGGACGGGGATGGGGACGGGGACCCCCCCAAACCACCCAACCCTGGCACCCGTTCTCACCACCATCTGCGCCACGAGTTCGGCTTTGCGACTCAGAACAAAGTCAGTGCATTTGTTGCTGCCACGGACGGCCCGGCTGATCATGGCGATGCTCCGGATGAGGCACAGCTTCAGGGTCAGGTCCTGAGCACAGAACCACAGATTGTCACCTCCCGGCACTGGGGACGCTTTGCCCCGTGTCCCTCCCCATGCCGGGCTCTGTGGTGACAAATGCAGCGGCTGGGCCTCCATCCTGACAGGAGACCCCATGGCTGTGGGGCACCACGACCCCCATTGCTGCAAAGAATCACAGCCCCATAGCCATAGGGTGCTGGGACCACCATAGCCACAGAGAATTGGGAACCCCACAGCCACAGAGAACCAGAACCCCATAAACATGGGGCACCATGACCCCTATAGCCATTAGAATCAGAACCCCACAGCCATTAGAATCAGAACCCCATAGCCGTTAGAATCAGAACCCCATAGCCATTAGAATCAGAACCCCACAGCCATTAGAATCAGAACCCCATAGCCGTTAGAATCAGAACCCCATAGCCATTAGAATCAGAACCCCATAGCCATTAGAATCAGAACCCCATAGCCGTTAGAATCAGAACCCCACAGCCATTAGAATCAGAACCCCATAGCCATTAGAATCAGAACCCCACAGCCATTAGCATCAGAACCCCATAGCCATTAGAATCAGAATCCCATAGCCATTAGAATCAGAACCCCATAGCCATTAGCATCAGAACCCCACAGCCATTAGAATCAGAACCCCATAACCATTAGAATCAGAACCCCATAGCCATTAGCAACAGAACCCCACAGCCATTAGAATCAGAACCCCATAGACATTAGAATCAGAACTCTATAGCCATTAGAATCAGAACCCCATAGCTATTAGAATCAGAACCCCACAGCCATTAGAATCAGAACCCCACAGCCATTAGAATCAGAACCCCACAGCCATTAGAATCAGAACCCCATAGCCATTAGAATCAGAACCCCACAGCCATTAGAATCAGAACCCCACAGCCATTAGAATCAGAACCCCATAGCCATGGGACACTGGAAACCCCACAGCCATTAGAATCAGAACCCCATAGCCATTAGAATCAGAACCCCATAGCCAAGGACACTGGAAACCCCATAGCCATTAGAATCAGAACCCCATAACCATTAGAATCAGAACCCCATAACCATTAGAATCAGAACCCCACAGCCATTAGAATCAGAACCCCACAGCCATTAGAATCAGAACCCCACAGCCATGTGGGATTGGAACCTTTTAGCCGTGGGGCACCGGGACCCTCCTAAGCACTAAGAATTGGAAATCCCACAGCCACGTGGGCACTGGGAGCTCCTGACACATGAAGGCATTGGGAACCCCATCCTCAGGGGGCACCAGGACTCTCGTAACCATGGGGGCACTGGGACCTCCGTAGCCATGGGGCACCGGGAACCCCACAGCCACAGGGCAGCAAGGCGCTCCTATCACCACAGGACATGGGGAATCTCAGCCGTGGGGCACGAGGCCCTTCATTGCCAATGGGGCACCGACCCCCATTGCTGCAAAGAATCACAGCCCCATAGCCATAGGGTGCTGGGACCACCATAGCCACAGAGAATTGGGAACCCCATAGCCACAGAGAACCAGAACCCCATAACCATGGGGCACCACGACCCCTATAGCCATTAGAATCAGAACCCCACAGCCATTAGAATCAGAACCCCATAGCCATTAGAATCAGAACCCTATAGCCATTAGAATCAGAACCCTATAGCCACAGGGCACTGAGAACCTCATAATCACTAAGATTAGGGAATCCCACAAACATGGGGCACTGGGACCACCACAGCCACAAAGAATTGGGAATCCCCATAGCCATGGGGCACTGGGACCCCCCTAGCCATTAGAATCAGAACCCCATAGCCATTAGAATCAGAACCCCACAGCCATTAGAATCAGAACCCCATAGCCATTAGAATCAGAACCCCACAGCCATTAGAATCAGAACCCCATAGCCATTAGAATCAGAACCCCACAGCCATTAGAATCAGAACCCCACAGCCATTAGAATCAGAACCCCATAGCCATTAGAATCAGAACCCCACAGCCATTAGAATCAGAACCCCACAGCCATTAGAATCAGAACCCCATAGCCATTAGAATCAGAACCCCATAGCCATTAGAATCAGAACCCCACAGCCAAGGGACACTGGAAACCCCATAGCCATTAGAATCAGAACCCCACAGCCATTAGAATCAGAACCCCACAGCCATTAGAATCAGAACCCCACAGCCATTAGAATCAGAACCCCATAGCCATTAGAATCAGAACCCCACAGCCATTAGAATCAGAACCCCATAGCCATTAGAATCAGAACCCCACAGCCATTAGAATCAGAACCCCACAGCCATTAGAATCAGAACCCCATAGCCATGGGACACTGGAAACCCCATAACCATTAGAATCAGAACCCCATAGCCAAGGGACACTGGAAACCCCATAGCCATTAGAATCAGAACCCCACAGCCATTAGAATCAGAACCCCACAGCCATTAGAATCAGAACCCCATAGCCATTAGAATCAGAACCCCACAGCCATTAGAATCAGAACCCCACAGCCATTAGAATCAGAACCCCATAGCCATTAGAATCAGAACCCCATAGCCATTAGAATCAGAACCCCACAACCATTAGAATCAGAACCCCATAGCCATTAGAATCAGAACCCCACAGCCACAGGGCAGCAAGGCGCTCCTATCACCACAGGACATGGGGAATCTCAGCCGTGGGGCACGAGGCCCTTCATTGCCAATGGGGCACCGACCCCCCCTCCCCCGCTCACATCCAGTGGTGGGGGACGACACTTTGGGGTCTCAGCTCCTTGCTGAGGCAGCACCAGGAGCCTCCAAACTCTCCCCCGTCTCCCACAAAACCGCATCCCCTTACAGGGGGGGTGGTGGGGGGGCTGTGCTTCCCACCAGCTCTTGGTTCCAGCCCATCACACCACCATCCTCATAGGGACAGACGATGGCAGACCCAGAGAATGGGAACGGTGGCCATCAGTGGGCTCCCCCCACCCCAATTAGCGGTGCTCCCTCATCCCAGCTGAGCCCGGCGGTGGGGACAGTGGAGCTGTTAGTGCCAGAGGAGCCCAAAGGGAAACGTTTTAGTGCAGATGGGGGACGGGGGCCCTGACAGCTTCACCTCAACGTGACAAATGCCGTTTGTCATCGCTCAGCCTTGAAAATAAAGTAAATCTAGAGATGCGGCCCCCCGGCTACCCCCCCCCCCCCCCCCCCAGGATGGCAATCTGCGGTCTGCTATCTGGTCAATGAGTGATGGCTCCCTGGGGGAAGGTGGGGAAATGAGCTCCATGAATTTGTGCAGCTGGGGCTCTGCAGTGTCCTGCGCTGTGGGGGGAGAGGAGGGGAACGGAGGGCAGGATGTGGGCACTACACAGCGCAGCGAGGCCATGGGGTGAGAGGGTCCTTACAGAGCACACAGGCATGGAACGGGGTGGGTTGGAAAGGACTTTATAGATGACAATGATACAGGAGTGGTTGGGTTGGGAGGGACCCTATATAGAGGATTGTATGGAACTGTCAGGTTGGAAGGGAGCTTACAGACTACAGAGCCATAGGTTCTGTTGGGCTGCGTCGGAAGGCACCTACAGATTAGAGACACAGAACTGGTCGGGCTGTGCTGGGTTGGAAGGGTCCTTGCAGATCATAGAGCCATGGGATGGTCGGGTTGGGTTGGAAGGGTCCTTGCAGATCACAGGTCTATGGAATGGCTGGGTTGGGTTGGGTTGGAAGGGTTCTTACAGACCACAGAGCCATGGAATGGCTGGGTTGGGTTGGAAGTTACCTTAAAGATTACATCTATCTACCTTACAGATTACAAAGACACGAAATGGGTTGTGTTGGAAGGGTCCTTACAGACCACAGAGGCATGGAATGGTTATAATGTATTGTGTTGGGTTGGGTTGGAAAGGTCCTTACAGACCACAGAGGCATGGAATGGTTGTGCTGTATTGTGTTGGGTTGCATTGGAAGGGTCCTTGCAGACCACAGAGTCATGGGATGGTTGTGCTGTATTGGGTTGCATTGGAAGGGTCCTTGCAGACCACAGAGGCATGGGATGGTTGTGCTGTATTGGGTTGGGTTGCATTGGAAGGGTCCTTGCAGACCACAGAGGCATGGGATGGTTGTGCTGCATTGGGTTGGGTTTGAAGGGTCCTTGCAGACCACAGAGCCATGGGATGGTTGTGCTGCATTGGGTTGGGTTTGAAGGGTCCTTGCAGACCACAGAGCCATGGGATGGTTGTGCTGCATTTTGTTGGGTTGGAAGGGTCCTTGCAGACCACAGAGCCATGGGATGGTTGTGCTGCATTGGGTTGGGTTGTGTTGGAAAGGTCCTTACAGACCACAGAGGCGTGGAATGGTTGTGCTGTATTGGGTTGGGTTGCATTGGAAGGGTCCTTGCAGACCACAGAGCCATGGAATGGTTGTGCTGCATTGGGTTGGGTTGTGTTGGAAAGGTCCTTGCAGACCACAGAGGCATGGAATGGTTGTGCTGTATTGGGTTGGGTTGCATTGGAAGGGTCCTTGCAGACCACAGAGCCATGGGATGGTGGTGCTGCATTGTGTTGGGTTGGAAGGGTCCTTGCAGACCACAGAGGCATGGGATGGTTGTGCTGCATTGTGCTGGGTTGGAAGGGTCCTTGCAGACCACAGAGCCATGGGATGGTTATGATGTATTGTGTTGTGTTGGAAGGGTCCTTGCAGACCACAGAGGCATGGGATGGTTATGATCTATTGTGTTGGGTTGGAAGGGTCCTTGCAGACCACAGAGGCATGGGATGGTTATGATGTATTCTGTTGGGTTTGAAGGGTCCTTGCAGACCACAGAGCCATGGGATGGTGGTGCTGCATTGTGTTGGGTTGGAAGGGTCCTTGCAGACCACAGAGGCATGGGATGGTGGTGCTGCATTGTGCTGGGTTGGAAGGTTTCTACAAGCTGAGGGGCCGAGGAGGTGCGAGCAGCCCTCACCACTGCCTTCAGTGCACACTTCCACAGTTCAGGAGGAGATCCAAGTGCTTTGACACAACGAAATAACAATCCCTACAGCTGTAATTCGCTCACGCTGTGCGGTCACTTTCTACCACGTAGGGGAGTCAGGTTTCTGTGTTCTGCTCTAACGAAACGACCCACAGACCATCCCCAGTCGGAACTGAGCCATGAGGAAGGATCTCCACCTCCAACTCCTGCCTTCGCACAGCACCACTCGAAATTCAGACCAAAAAAAAACCAAAAAAAAACCCCAAAGGAAAGCGAGTTCTGCCTGCCTGTCGTGGGCGTCAGGAAAATTCCCCTCTCCCAGCCCCGAGCCCCAAGCCCAGAGGTAAAGAGAGCAGGACAGAGCAGAGAGCAGAGCAGACTGAGCGCCCCACACTGTACCTTGGTCTCTACCTTTATCCCCAGAACCTGCAAAACAAGACACGGGCATTGAGCGGCGGTGCCGTCCGTAGGACCAGCGGTCCCTGCGCAGCCCCCCTCCTCCCCACGCCGACACCCGGAGTGCTCCGTGCCCCCCGATGCCCACCTTGGTGCTGAAGTACTGGGAGATGTTCCTCAGGATGTCGGCCTCGACGCGGGACAGCAGCAGCTCCCTGGGAGCGTGAGCGGCCACGAACCCGTAGCACAGGATCAGGGCGCTCTTGATCTTCTCCACTTCGTGGTCACTGCGGTCCTGGTGGGGGAGATGGGATGGATCAGTGGGGGCTCTGGGGGAATCAGGGCCCCCTCCTTGTGGTTTGAGGTCTTCGTGCCCCGTTCTGTCAGCAGCAGATGTGCCCACAGCCCCATAGGACCACATTCGGACACGTCCTCGCCTGAGATATGGGTTCCTGTTTGCCACCCACAGTTGTCACTGCAGCTCTGGCATAGGATGGTTGGGTTGGAAAGGTCCTAAAGATTATAGAACCACCGAGTGGTTGAGTTGGAAGGGCCCTTAAAGATCACAGAACCACAGCACGGTTGGGTTGGAAAGGACCCCCCTCAGCCAAGTCCTGCCATGGGCTGGCTGTCCCCCCCCACCTCTGCCTGCCCAGGGCCCACCCACAGCCTGGGGCACTTCTCCCTTTTGTCCTAACAGCTGCTCCATTCCCTGAGCATCCCTGTGCCCCCTCCCCTCCCCTCCCCTCCCCTCCCCTCCCCTCCCCTCCCCTCCCCTCCCCTCCCCCTCTCCTCTCCTCTCCTCTCCTCTCCTCTCCTCTCCTCTCCTCTCCTCTCCTCTCCTCTCCTCTCCTCTCCTCTCCTCTCCTCTCCTCTCCTCTCCTCTCCTCTCCTCTCCTCTCCTCTCCTCTCCTCTCCTCTCCCCTCATCTCCCCCACAGCCCACGTATCCCTGCATCGGGGTCCTCGGACCAAGACACGGTGCTGCCAATCTCCCTCTCTACAGTTTGGGATCCTCCAGCCCCACACCAAACACAGCACATCCAGAGCCGCCCCCCCACAGCCCTTAGGAGGCACTGGGGCCCCTCACCTTGAAAATACTGAACAGCCCCACGGATTTCTTGAAGACATCAGACCGCACAAAATCCTCCAGCTTGGCCAGCGTTTCCTCCAGGTGATTTATTGCACATATCCCGAAGCAGGAAGCGAGTCCCTGGAGGGAGCGGTGAAAACGCATTAGCAGAAAGCAATTAATTCCCAACCCCACTGACACTTGAATAGAGCCCCCCTTGATTGGTTTAATTCCCGGCAGCTGAGCCGTGCCCAGCAGAGCTCAGCGCTGGCAACCACCACCCCCCTTTGGGGACACAAGGTGACACCAGCAAGGCAGCACCATGCAGGAGAGGTCAGGCTGGAACGCCATCAGCTGTTCATGCAGCCCTCAGCGGAGCTGTGCAAAACTGGAGCAGCACGAGACAGTGTTTGCACTGCATGGAGAGGCGGCCGCGGTGCGGCGCTCCTGGCTGAGTGCGGGATCACAGTTGGGAGCGTGCAAAGCTGGAGCCCAGCGTCACAAATCACACAGAATCACAAGGTTGGAAACGACCTGCAAGATCATCCAGTCCAACCCCCCTCCCATTGCTATCAGTACCAGCAGCACTAAACCACATCTCGCAGCTCCTCATCCAGGCGCCTCTTGAACGCTGCCAGGGACGGCGACTCCATCACCTCCCTGTGCAGCCATTGCAGGGGCTGACCACCCTTTGAGAGAAAAAGTTTCTCCTCATGTCCAACCTAAACCTCCTCTGGTACAACTTCTGCCCGTTTCCTCGGGTCCTATTATTTGCCTGGGAGAAGAGGCCAGACCCTTTTGCACCACAACCTGGAGGTTGTACAGAGCAATGAGGTCTCCCCTGAGCTCCTCTTCTCACCCTGAACATTCCCAGCTCCTTCAGCCTCTCCTCACAGCCCTGTGTTCCAGACCCCTCACCATTTCGTTGCCCTCCTTTCAACACATTCCAGGCCCTCAATATCTTTCTTGCAGTGAGGGGCCCAAAACTGGACACAGCCCTCGAGGTGCGGCCTCACCAGTGCTGAGTAGAGGGGGATGCTCACCTCTCTGCTCCTGCTGGCCACACTATTTCTAATGCAGGCCAGGATGCCGTTGGCCCTCTTGGCCACCTGGGCACACTGTTGGCTCCTGTTCAGCCGAGCATCAACCAACACCCCCAGGTCTCTTTCCTCAGCGCTCAAAAATCCCAGCCCAACTCAAAATCCCAGCGCTCCAGCAGTGCCTGCAGGGCAGAGCAGAGGGGAGCAGCACCTCCCTGCCCTGCTGGCCGCTCTCTGGGCAACGCACCACAGGGTCCCGTTGGCTCTCTTGGCCACCAGGGCTCACTGCTGGCTCGTGGTGAACAGTAGGTCAACTGTTGGCCGACTGCTCATCAACCCTTGGGTCAACCATTGGCTAACAACTGGTCACCATTGGTCAACTGCCAGACAAGCACTGGTCAACCATTGCACAACCACCGCACGGCTGCTGGTCAACCACTGGATCGACTGTTGGTTAACCATCGGATCAACCATTGGTCAAACACTGGTCGACCGCTGGTCAACTGCTGGTCAATCGTTGGTCACACACGGGTAGAACACTGGACAACCATTGGTCAGTTGCTGGTAAGACACTGGACAAACATTGGTCAAATACTTGTCAACCATTAGTCAACCTTTGGGCAAACATTGGTCAACCACTGGTCATCTATTCGTCAACTGCTGGATCAACTGTGGGGTCCACCATTGGCCATCCATTGGTCAACCATTGCCCATCCATTGGTCAACCATTGGCCATCCATTGCTCAACCATGGTCAACCACTGGCCAACCATTGGTCAACCATTGGTCAACCATTGGCCAACCATTGGCCATCCATTGGTCAACCATTGGCCAACCATTGGTCAACCATTGCCCATCCATTGGTCGAATACTTGTCAACCATTAGTCAACCATTGGGCAACCATTGGTCAACCATTGGTCAACCATTGGCCATCCATTGGTCAACCATTGGTCAACCACTGGCCAACCATTGGTCAACCATTGGCCATCCATTGGTCAACCATTGGCCATCCATTGGTCAACCATTGCCCATCCATTGGTCAACCATGGTCAACCATTGGCCATCCATTGGTCAACCATTGCCCATCCATTGGTCAACCATTGGCCATCCATTGGTCAACCATGGTCAACCACTGGCCCCCCATTGGTCAACCATTGGCCATCCATTGGTCAGCCATTGGTCAACCATTGCCCATCCATTGGTCAACCATTGGCCATCCATTGGTCAACCATTGCCCATCCATTGGTCAACCATGGTCAACCACTGGCCATCCATTGGTCAACCATTGCCCATCCATTGGTCAACCATTGGCCATCCATTGGTCAACCATGGTCAACCACTGGCCCCCCATTGGTCAACCATTGGCCATCCATTGGTCAGCCATTGGTCAACCATTGCCCATCCATTGGTCAACCATTGGTCAACCACTGCTCAACTGTTGGCCAATCAGAACCTGCAAGTCCTTTTTGCCCAATTGTTTTGCCACGCACCCCACTGCATCAGTGAGAAATGTGGCTCTGCAGAGCACAGCGTTGAGGAAGGACAGACAACAGCAGTGCAGCCAAGGGCCCCAGGAAGCCCCGTAGCCCCACGGGGCCACATGAGCCCCAGCCTGGGGATGCAGCAGGACCCCAAATCCCCTTCAGGCAGCAGGTGCAGGCAGAACCCCCCAGCCCCTCTCACCTCCCACTCCGCCTCCTCGTTGTACCGGGCCGTTTCCAGCAGTTCCTGCAGCTGTTTCTGGACCAACTCCTTGCTGACGCACGCCCCGAGCGTCGTCCCGATGCACTTGTACAGAAAGTTCTGGAAGGACAAAGGGGCGTTGGGGATCTGAGCCTCCAGCAAGGCCACGAGGAGCTGGGACACAGTGGGGGACAGCAGGACAGACGTCAGGACTGACTGACTGCCGCCGGATGAGCTCTTGACAAGTCGTGGGGCACAACTGACCGCACGCACTGGAAATGGGAAGAATTCCGTTTTCCAATGCGTCCACCCACCCCAATTAACGCCCTGCTATTTTAATTCTCTCCCGACACCCTTCTCCCAGCAGCAGCAGGAAGGACGATGCTTTGGGAAGCACCATTCGCCAGGCTGGTCCCAGTGAGGACGGACCCAGCGCCGGTCCCGCATCCGTCACCTTCTCGGTGGGGAATCCGTTGTAGCCGTTCAGCTGCCGGCACATCTCTGTCCCGAAGTGGCAGATCCAAGCGTTGTCTGAAACGGCTGCCAGCGTTTCCTGGAGGAGCTGGGTCACAGAACCACAGGACGGTCAAGGTTGGGAAGTTCTAGAGCTCCCCCAGCCCCACCTGGCCCCCTCCTCCCACCCCCACCCCCCAGATACCCATCAGCGCTGCTCACACCCCTCTCAGCCTTCTTTCCCCCAGCTGCACAGCCCCGGGGCTCTCAGCCCATCCCCACCAGGAGGGGATCCAGGCCCCCCCCATCCCCACACCCTCCGCTGGGCTCTCCCAGCACTTCCCAGTCTGCCCTGAACTGGGAGCCCAGCGCTCCAGCAGTGCCTGCAGGGCAGAGCAGAGGGGAGCAGCACCTCCCTGCCCCGCTGGCTGCACTCTGGCAATGCACCACAGGGTCCCGTTGGACCTCTTGGCCATAAAGGTTCACTGCTGGCTCCTGGTCAACTGTTGGTGAACCGCTGGTCAACCATTTGACACCTGTTGGTCATCGGCTGACCAACAATTGGTCAACCGCTGGGTCAGATGTTGGTCAACCATTGGTCAACCACTGGTCAACCCTTGGGTCAACCACCGTTCAACTACTGGGTCAACCCATTAGTCAACTGCTGGTCAATCATTAACCAATCACTGCCCACCACACCTAAAGGTCCTTCTCTGAAGAGCTCCCTTCCAGCAGCTCAGCCCCAGCCTGTTCTGGTTGTGCAGTCATTCCCCACCCAAGA